TTTCATAGTTTCTGTTTCTTTCTTCGTCGTTTCTTTACTTGTCTTGGACGTTTTCTATTTCTTCTTGTCCGTGCCAGCTTTAACACCAACATCAGAATTCTTTTTTTTTTCTGCAATGCATGGCCTAAATTTGCTACCATAGAAAAAGGAAAAACATAATCGCTGATCTAATACCACTGGCTGGTAATCATCTTCGTCCTCTTCGTCATTTGAGACTTTTCGGCTTCTTTGGTTGACAGATTGCTTTTTTTGCGAACCAATCTTCGTCCTGAATACCAAAAAATCTTTATAACTAAACGGTATGTACGAAAAACATTGGAAAAAGCTTTCGTTATTCATACACCGTAGTCACATGACATGAAAACATGCAAACGCGTCAAATTCGCAAGTTTGTGTTTTCGGTTGGATTTTAAACTTTGTTTCCAAATGCAAAACAATCGATTCTCGTGTGAATAATCGACATACGAATAAAATAATAATGTGGTTTTCAACGTTCAACAAAACAAAAAACAATACCAATGGCACATCATCTTCATCTGAATCTAAATAACTTTTTTCTTTCTTCACTTTCTTTGACGTTTCCTCCTTGTTTTTATCTATTTTTTTCATTGCTTCTTTTGTCCCCCGGTCATCTTTCTCGCCGTTTCCAGTCTCCACGGCATCTTCCTTCTTCACGTTTTTGTAAATTTTAAGTTTCAATGAGCTATTTGAGGAGGATTTCTTTGTAACATTCCCTTTGAGGAACCATCTTTCTTGACGTTCCCGCTATTTTAATTTTTTAAGTTTGTGTCCGACTTTGTGAAGGTTAATTTCTCTGCTTTGACAGGACTAGTCGTGCTCTGTTTTTCCTTCTTTTTTTCAACCGACGAATTTGAAGAAGATTTTTTAACTTTAGATGTTTTGGAACTTTTTAAGTTGTCGGACTTGTGTTCAGAATTATGAATTCCGGGATCTGTTTTTGTTTTTTTTTTTCACTCCTAAATCAGTTTTACTCGGTTCAAGTTTCAATTTTTTAACGGTTGCCGAACATTTGTTCTTCGTCGGTTCCTCTCGGTTCAATTTCTTAGAAAACAAATCAAAATTCATTAGTCTTAACTGCTTGTAATATTTATGTACATATCATAAAGAAATTATCCACCTCTCGAACCTTCCTCCTCCCCAGTATTTCTGTTGTATTTATACACCATGAATTAATTATCCATATCCTGCACCTTTCCCCTCCCCCTTAAGTATATCTACACCTAGTGAAGAATGAGCCAAATGGCATAAAAACTTACGTCTGTTTGGCTCGAGAAAACTACTATTTAAAAATTGATGTAAATAAAAAAAGCGAGACGATAAAAAAGAGTATATAAAACTAAAGATAAACACAAATATATGATTAAAGGGTACTACACTAAAGTGGTTAGGAAACGAAAATGTTTCTTTATGTAATCCGCGAAGGCTATTTTGTTAGGCTTTGATAAAGGGTTTGGTCTGACGTTTCGGCCAGGTCAACCGCGCTGAAATCCCTCGAAATAAAATATGCTTACTGTGTTTACGCAGGCTTATGCAAACCGGGGAGGCCTTTGAAAGAACTCTAGAGCAGATTAGTGCAAGCCCAAGACCGAAGGTCGAGGGTAGCGCCTACTCTCGGGTTCTCCCAAAGGTTTTATCTCTCACCAGATCACGAGTTTCTCGAAATCACAATCAATTTATAAAGCTCAGTGATTTGTCCCTTTTCCAGGAAACGTGGGAATGACAAATAACAAAATTTTCCTTTCGTGCGCAGTTTGGAAACAATACCAATGATGTAATACTAATAACTCACCAGTTGAACGTCATCATAGTTGTTGTCGCTCATGTTAGCATCAGGATTTATTAAACTTGACTACCAAAGAAAAAAAATCAAACTTACGCCTGTATTTTAAAATTTCACTCACACACAAACACACTCCCATCGAATGCGACTTTAAAATCACCTTATAAGTAATCAAAGATGAATTTTTCGTGCTACTTATTGCTCACTTTGAAATTTTCTTGCAAAAATTTAGCCATTGATTAAAAAAAGCGCAATTTTTAAGTCGCCTACAACGAGCGCGAGAATGTGCTTTTAGAATACGGGCATTAGATTTTTGAGCTTTCCCTAAACAACAATCAAAGGTAAGACAAACTCATTTGTATTGTTTTTTTTGTTTGTTTTTCTTAACCTTATTATGCGTCTTCTCTGGCTTTCGTTCTTTCTTACTGTGACTGTTTCTTTCTTCATGCCATTTCTATAAAATATAAAGAAAGTTAATGAAGAGTTTAAAACCTAAAGTAATGAAAAGCCATCTATAGAAAGCCAATTTACAAAACTCAATTAACAGATCCATTCTTCGCCGACTTAATTTGGAAGGTGAAAAAGTAGAGAAAAATATTAATATTTTTACAACCGCAACAACATTGCACATGGATCAACAAAAAATTTTCCAATAACATACAGGCAAACCCAGGTGCGACCTACCCAGTTTTATTTTCTTTGCCTCTGAAGCTTTTGCTGATTGAGGATAGAGAAAGGCTTAACTGTTTCAGAAAGTCTATTATCTACAAAAAATGTTTCCCCACCAAGCCCTACTAGGTACAGTACCGACCTCAAGTAACATGACATGACTCGCGAGTATCGAATGGCGAGTGGACGAGTGACTCGCGAGTCAATTGCGAGTTACTCGAGAGTAACGAGTTAGGATTGAGCGCGTGACTCGCGATGCAGTTGCGAGTCACTCTCGAGTGCGAGAAGTTTGCGAGTGAACAAGGGACTCTCTGTTTGCGAGTGAATATAATAACTCGTTTTTTGCGAGTGACTCGAAATAACTCGCAAAAATTTCTTTCTCCAGTAATTGAAAGTGACAAACATAATCTTAAGTGTAGTAACAAGTAAAATTCGTTCAACATTTTGAAGGCAACGGTTTATATCTTTTTTATGAAACATGAGAGCAAAACGACTATTCATTTGAAGCAATATCTCGGGCCGTAATGACTTTAAAATCTTTTGAATTTTTTTACAAAAGCATTTTAATAACTTCACATTTTTCATGGCACAAACGTTAATTGTAAAGTGGTAGAGACCATGGAGAAATTAGTGAAAAAATCAAAGTAACTCTTAAAGATTTCCTTCTAACAGTCTTAGATTGTTGACATATATTATCTTAAGATAGAATACACTCAAAAACGGCTAGATCAAATTTATATATGTGCTTGTGAAGCAAAAATTTTCCGTTTCAAAGTATCTTTACATCGAACAGAAAATTTAAACTGACTGTAGACTTTGTAAAACAGTTTATGAACATCTCTTTTCATTCTCAAAATATAGAAGTTTTGTATGTGACGTACCATTTTGTACAACCAGTAAAATCATATCACACAATATCCCTTCATTAAATAGATAAATTCATCATATAAAATACATCCTTTATAATGCAATATGACATCACGGGCTGTGCGAACTTGGACACTCCACAAACTTTAATATCTTGAAAATGAAAAGAGAAATACCTTAACTGTTTCAGAAAGTCTAGTATCTACAAAAAAAGTTTACCCATCCAGCCCTACTAGGTAGGTCTTCGTATTATAACTCCTCTTTATTAAATAATTCGTAAATTTATTTGACCTTGTAGCAAGCTTCAATATTCTGTCAAATTGTATAATCTTTCTTGCAAGAAAACTGTATTTTGCTTTGTTGCCTCTCTAAATAAACTGTGAGCCCATGACTCGGCTCATAATAACAGCGGTGAGGAGATACTTCAAGTAAAAATGTCGCCTAAACAATAAAACATGAAAGATCTTCATCGTCAAAATTCTAAGAACTGCAGGTTTTCTTCAGTGGGAACAAATAAATTCGAGGCCAAATCGCGTGCGGCTTTTAATCTCCGAATTATGAGAAAAACACGCTTGTAGTTGTATTAGAAATCAAAAGAAATGATAAAATGCTATGGCCGATAAGTGTTCCCACATGAATTTCACATGTCGGTGAGTGACAGAGGCTTCTATTTTATTATAATTACATAACGATGTCTCATGTCTGCTGCGATTTCTATTACTACACGCGTTCTCAATGTAGACTGTTATAACAATTATTATACATGTGAGTAAATAGTTATATTTAGCGTAATGTTTAAGAAAAGTAAAATCTACGTACCTTGCTTTACCACATGACAGCGTAGATATCATTTTTTTGTATTACTATCAATAATCCAAAACATCTGAGAAAAAAATGTTTGCGTGTGCACATGAACATTACAAATTCGAACAAGCGAAAAATCTTGTCCTCCAATCTTCAACGGAATCTTCTTGTAGGTGTTTGAAACAATTTTTTGTCAAACGTTTTTGGGATTTATGTTTTGCGTGAGAATATTATATACGTTTGTTTTTCTTTCCACTGTTTACGTAAAAACGTTAGCAATTTTTTGTCTACAAACCAGTGTATGCAGTAATTAGATGCTTTTTTATGTTTCATGCCAGTTTTGCAACAAACAATGAAATGATTAAATGCTCACAACACTGAGTAGGGCTATAACTCTTTCAAATACGCCATTTTGAGTTATTACTTCACCAATTAAAAATTGGTCATTACACATTACAATGACAAAGGCAAACAGTATAACCATTCAACAATTGGTTAAAAACCGTTTAATAATAAACATGACGCTGTTCCAAAGGAAAAAGAATTAGTCGAAACGACCAATTCCGTTTGATCAATAAAATATACGATAAATTAACTTATTTAAATTGGTAGCTGAGAGAAAAATTGGTTGTTTTAACATTAATTTTTTTCAGTGTACGTATATGATATTATGAAAGTATTTCAAATTTATTTTAACAAATTGTCAACACTCGCTAACTACAACCATCATCAGACTTTTTTAGTTGAGAAACAAAATGTTACGTCAGACACACGAGTCACAAACTCAATTAGTTAAAGTGGGAGTATTACAAATAATGTTAAAGTTGTGTTGGTTTCAATTGTACATTCGTGTACGTTGGGGACGATAAGGAACAATATAGAAAACATGAGTGAAACGGAAGTAGAGAGAGCAGAGAACGGAAGTGAGACAAGTGATGCAAGCGAGACAGATGAGACAAGCGAGGGAAGAGAGAGAAACGAGATACTTTGAGGAATAATAATTAAAATTTGTTTAAGAAACCAAAGTTGTGATTGTAATTATTCTTTGTGTTCCAAAGACATTGGGACGGAGGTCAATTTTCGGAATACGTGGCACCTACCGACGAAGGATTGTTATTGTGATATATTGTGATATATTGTAAAATTTCGTACGAAATATTACGCGTCCCACACAAACATGGCAAACGACGAACCAAAACTCAATATAAAATTAACTCAACTAAAGTTATCTGCTCAAAGAACAGCTAAAATATTAGATTCGGGAAAGCGATAAACTATCGAACGACAACTGAACGCACTCAAAACAACTATAAACGAAGCTGACAATTTTAAAAGAGCTGTAGAAGCAACGAAAATCGAAAGAGAAACGACTTTGAAGAAATCAGCGATTGGAATGCGGAAATCGAAACAAAAATAAGCGAAGCCGAAGACGAAATAAACAAGCTACAACACTGGCTGAACAATAAGAAATTAGAAGAGGAAAATCACGCTCGCGAGGAGCAACTTAAGTTTGAAGTAAAGCTTCAAGAAATAAAGGCTCAAGTAAATGCAAAAATTCAAAATTCAAAGTCCGGGGACTCAAAAATAAGTGATGAAGTCATGTCGGTGAGATTACCAAAAATAAACATTATGAAATTTGAGGTGGAATACATGGATTGGCCCAGATTTTGGGGGCAATTTACGGAGACGGTGGACAAGTCAAATATAGCTGCCATCAACAAATTCACATATCTGTGTGGTTTCCTTGTGCCCAAAGTCAAGCGACGAGTAGAATTATTACCGTTTACCACCGAAGGATACAATAGAGAGAAGTCAATTTTAAAAGATCAGTATGGGAAGAATTTGGAAATTATAAAAGCTTACATAAAAGAGATAATGGACTTGCCTCATATCTCCGGAGCAAACCCAAGAAAGATTGCCGAATTTAGTGAGAAGTTAAATCACAGTGTCCAAGCTGTGGAAACGTTGGGTAAACTGAAAGATGTCCAAGGAAATGTTTCCATGACTCTCGACAAACTCCCAGCCATACGTGGGGATCTTGTTAGAAATGATCCAGAATGGGAAAGTTGGGACTTTTCCAAGCTTACTGAAGCAGTCAGACAGTGGACCAGGCGAAATCCAGTCTGTGAGAAAGAGTCAGACACACCTGGATGCAAATCTAGAATGTCAGAGAAAGTCTTTCATACTAAAGAAAGGGGGAAGTGCGTCTACTGTGAAGGAAATCATAAATCGGGAGAATGTAAAGTAATCAGTACTGTCAAAGAGAGAAGAGCAATTTTAGTCAAAAAGAAACTTTGTTTCAACTGCACAGCAGGACAGCATCATGCTAACGCTTGCCCCAGCAAGTCATCATGCAGAAATTGCCACAAACGACACCATACGAGCATATGTGATGTCACCAATCGAAAAGAACCACCCAAAACAGGTCAGACTGTGTTGACTACAGATGGATGTATTGGTGAAGGAATTTTCCCCATTCTTGTTGTCAAGATAAATGGAATTACATGTCGTGCATTGATCGACTCAGGGGCTGGAAGCTCATACATATCTGGTAAACTTGCATCTATGCTGAGGGTGAAACCAATTGAGACACAAACCACTAAAGTTGACATGCTTCTAACATCAAAAACAACAAGACTGGAAATCTATGAAGTGGAAGTTGAAGCAATAGACAGTGATTATTCAATGAAGGTGAAGTTGATCAAGGTGGAGAAAGAAGAGTTACTCACAGTGAATAATCCACACTATGAAAACTTACAAAGAGAGTATGAACATCTGAAGAATGCAAAATTTGTTGATAATGATCAGAAAGCTCAATTACCATATCGTTTTGGGAAGCGGGGAATATGCACGGATAAAAACTCGCACGAATCCACTAGTGGGAACTGAGGGGCAACCAATTTTAGAAAAAACAAAACTCGGATGGTTTGCCATGAGCCCTGGTGTGGAACCAAACAGTAAAAGGATGTTGCTTACCCAAGTTTCGCAGAAGGATTATGAAGATCTCTGCAGGTTGGATGTTCTGGGCCTAGCAGAAACTGCTGAACACGACCAATCAATGGTATATAACGAATTCAAAGAGCAATTAACGCGATCACCGGAGGGCTGGTACGAAACCGGTCTTCCATGGCGTGGAAATCATCCACTTCTCCCATTGAACAAAACAGGAAGCGTCAGAAGGTTGGAATCTTTAGAGCGACGATTACAGCAAAAGAACTTAACTGAAGATTACAACGCTGTAATCCAAGACCAAAAGCATAATGGCATAGTTGAACCAGCAACTAACGTAGCTAAGGGTAATGAATTCTACATACCTCACAAAGAAGTCGTACGCGAGTCAGCGCAGTCCACTAAACTGAGAGTGGTGTATGATGCATCAGCAAAGGCTTCACCAGAAAGTCCTTCTTTAAACGAATGCCTGTATGCGGACCTTCGCTAAATAACAAGCTGTGGGAAGTGCTTGTAAGAGCGCGAAGTTTTCCTGTTGCAATAACTGGGGATATTCAAAAGGCATTTCTCCAAATTCGTGTACGCGAAAGTGAACGGGATTCTTTAAGATTTCACTGGCGACCAGATCCACAGGCTGATGTAGAAGTACTACGGTTCACGAGAGTATTGTTTGGATTGGTTTCTTCTCCATTCCTACTTGGGGGAGTTCTCAAAACACATTTGGATCACTGGAAAAGCAAAGCTTCCGACGCAGTTGAGGCTCTGAGAAGGTGTCTGTACGTTGATGACATCATTTCAGGAGGATGCACTGTGGATGAAGCACAAAAAAGGAAATTGGAAGCTATTGACATTCTGGGTGATGCAACCTTTATCCTCCATAAGTGGGCATCAAATGCAAAGGAGTTGGATGAAGGAAGTGTTAACAAAAATCATGAAGAGCAAACAGCGGCCAAACAACAATTTGGGGTGCAGCCAACTGAGAGGAAGATCTTGGGTACAACGTGGAATAAAGAGAAAGATACGTTAAGTGTATAAATAGGACATTGTGGTAAATTGCCAACGAAGCGCAACATTTTAAGTCGACTGGCAAAGATTTATGATTCAATGGGAATTGCATCCCCTCTGCTTTTGCAAGGCAAACAAATCTATCGAGAGGTGTGTGACCTGAAATTACCTTGGGACGCGGAATTAATTGGTAAACTGAAGCAGAGCTGGGAGAAGTGGAAAAACACCTTACCAAGCGAAGTGACCGTGCCAAGAGCGGTTCTGTCGTTCCAAGAACCCGTCTGTAGCTTAGAGATTCATGGATTTGGGGATGCCAGCGGTGAAGGTTTGTGCGCAGTCGTCTACACGGTCGCTAAACAACCATCTGGAGTTACTCAGGAATTAAGACTTGCAAAAAGAGGAATGACTATCCCGAGGTTAGAGCTTGCTGCAAGTCATATGGCCGCAAATTTGGTCTCGAATGCTAGCAATGCGCTGAGACACATTCCACACAGAAAACACTGTTGGTCAGATAGTACTGTAGCTTTATGGTGGATTAAAGGAGAGGATGATTATAAACAATTCGTGTAGCATCGAGTGGCAAAAATCTGAGCTTCTAATGAGATCGTGTGGCATCATGTGCCAACAACCGACAATCCGGCCGACCTTGGAAGCAGAGGTGGCAAACTGACCGAGATGTGGATGAAGGGTCCTGTCTGGCTATCAGAGTGTAGTTTTTGGCCACCAGATCTTATAGCCAAACCGTCGACTGACTCCCAAAGTGAAGCAAAGGCGACAAGAGTAGTTTTGAGCACGGCTATCCCGCCGTCAGACTTGGCAATATTCAGTAATATTCTTGAAAAACATCAATTGCGGAAGGCGATTCGTATTGGGGCGTGGGTGAAACGATTTATTGATAATGCTCGACAAAACAGAGATAATAGAAAGCACGGGCCACTGACATCTGAAGAAGTGGAAGAGCAACACATGTCATGGATAAGAATGGTACAAGCTGGAGTCGCAGAAAATCCAAACTCTCAAACGGATCTTATTCAGTTAAATGTACAAACCGACGATGACAAGATTTTAAGATGAGTTCAAGGAGAGTTCCTTATTTCCTTGCCTGATGACGCTCTGTTCACCGTTAAGTTAGTGGAAGATCCACACTTGGAAACACTCCATGGGGGAGTTATACTTACGATGGCAAAGGTCGGAGAAAGGTATTGGGTTCCTCGGCTTCGTCGACTCGTCAAAAAGCAAAGGAAGAGATGCTACAGATGCAAGAGATTCACGACCAAACCGTATCAAGCTCCAACACCTGGTCCTTTACCAAAGACCAGAACAGAAGGAACTACACCGTATAAAGTCATTGGTGTCGATTTCGCCGGTCCGATTAAGTATAAAGTCAAGAAAAATCAAGAAGGAAAAGCCTATCTAGTGCTCTTTTCCTGTAGTTTGACGCAAGGAGTCCATCTTGAATTGTTGAAGAGTCTTGAGACAACTTCGTTCCTGCAAAGTCTAAAACAGCTCATAGCAAGGCGATGTCGTCCTTCGCTGATCTATTCGGACAATGCAAAAACGTTCCAAGCTGCAGCAGCATGGTTAAAGAGAGCAATGCAAGACGAGAGTTTTCACAGCGAGCTCAGTAAACATAGCATTAAATGGAGATTCAATCTGTCCCGCGTACCCTGGTGGGGAGGCCAGTTTGAGCGTTTGGTAGGTGTATTCAAATCATCATTTTACAAAGTCGTTGGTAAAGGACTTCTAAAAATTCGATGAACTGGCAGAAGTTGTTCTGGACGTAGAAATTTGTATGAATAATCGACCACTGAGCTATGTAGAGGATGATGTTGAACTCCCCGTACTGACGCCATCTTCGTTCGTACTGCAACAGTCGAATGTCATCCCTGAGGTGGAGAGTCATCACATTAAGGACGGTGAATTACGGAAGCGAGCAAAGTATTTGTACTAAATCAAAACCCAATTGTGGAACAGATGGCAGCGAGAATATTTAACCAGTCTACGCCAACGCAATCAAGTTAACAAATCAGCAACCGAATCTAATCCGAAAGAGGGAGATATCGTTTTAATTAAGGGTGATGAGAAAAACAGAAATATGTGGAAGATCGGAAAGGTAACGATGTTGATCCGTGGAAGAGATGGAGTTGTTAGAGAAGTCAAACTTCAGTGTGGAAAAATATCTCTTGAGAGACCAATCCAACTGATCTATCCTTTAGAATTACAATGTGACGTCAGCAACTATCAAAAGAAGTTGCGAGTGAACGCCGAAGAATTCAGACCAAGACGACAAGCTGCTGTGGTGGCGGAGGTAATAAATCAGGAGCTAATGGAACAGGAATGAAATAAACTTCGAGACAGAGTGATATAACATGTGACTCATTCGTAGTCACATGTGGGGGAGAGTGTTGCAAATTATGTTAAAGTTGTGTTGAGTTCAATTGTACATTCGGGTACGTTGGGGACGATAAGGAACAATATAGAAAACATGAGTGAAACGGAAGTAGAGAGAGCAGAGAACGGAAGCGAGACAAGTGATACAAGCGAGACAGATGAGACAAGCGAGGGAAGAGAGAGAAGCGAGATACTTTGAGGAATAATAATTAAAATTTGTTTAAGAAACCAAAGTTGTGATTGTGATTATTCTTCGTGTTCCGAATACATTGGGATGGAGGTCAATTTTCGGAATAGGAGTACCAAGAACGGAAATGGGATTTTTCTACTATTTATCTATTTCAAATAAATTGTCAACACTCGCTAACTACAACCATCATCAGACTTTTTAGTTGAGAAACAAAATGTTACGTCAGACACACAAGTTACAAGCTCAATTAGGTAAAGTGGGAGTACCAAGACCGGAAATGAGCTTTTTTAAATTAGCTACAAGATAATCTTTGTTTATAGAGCTATTGATTTGACCGTTGAATTATTGATTTTTTATACTTTCACAAGAAGTACAGAAGATTTGTAGAGTCAACTAAGGAGGTCAGTGATTATATAAGGGGTCTTTTTATCATGTCATTTGCGAGCCAGCGCTAATACAGGCTGACTTTATTATCCTCATTTTTTCTCCGTTATTTTTTGACAGTGCAGAGTTGGCTTAACATATGACATCCTAAGTAAATATATAATGCAAGCATTATTAAATGATTAAGTTCACATGACGGTTCCCGCGTGAATTACGATGCATAAAAACAACGACAATCAATCATCATTGGTTTGTGCGTTTGTTTTTGGCATCGCGTGAATATCATTTAGTATACAAAGAACACATACCGTATTACAGTATTTCGATTTAATGTGACTTGGTTTTGATTGCTTAATATGTGCATAATTACTGGCTTTGAAGTAAAAATACCTGTTTTTGTTTTTCCCTTACAAATTAAGACTCTAACAATGAGAATTGAGTGAATTAATTTGTTGTTTATGCTAGCCACCTTACTTCCAATACAGTAGTTGATAGTAGGATCTCGTCGGATTCGTATTAAAAAAAACTGCCTAAGATAAAATTCTAGCTATAGTCTGATGATATCTTGACTGTAGAGACGAAACGATACTGTTAATAAATCATAATTCCTTACAAATTGGCTATAATTAGAATTTTATGTTGGACAGTTTCTTTTTTAACACGAGTCCGTTTCCCGCCAGGCAAGTCTCTCGCTATCAGGTGACTAGCTTCAAGAAGTGTAATTTTGGACTTTGCTGTTTTTCTTTCTTCTGGTGTCAGTCATTGGTTACTTTCTTTTACATGCTGTAGAATGTAGAAATAACAAAAGATAAAACCAATAATGTGTCCAAAATTAAATGAATATTTCACAAAGCTGATTTCTATACATGCATATAGAAGAGTACAATCAAATAAAAACAGTATTCAATATGTAGAATAACTTCGTGAATATTGGGTAATCACTCGTCAATTTTGAACGAAAATATGGATTTATCACATTTCTAAACAGGCAAGAAGAAGAAACTGAAACTCGGTGTACTAAACTTAGCACACATAATTAGATCTTTGGTAAAAGAAAACGAACTCTTAATCTTGTCATTGTGGTGTTGAAGGAGAAAAACTGAGTACGAAGAACAATTGGTCTTGACCCAAACCAAATCGTACCCATTGACAAAGAAAATTTAGTCATGATGAGACAATATACCACACATATAAACGATATCTAGGTAGTCATTTAAGTGATCCTTTCTTCAAACAAATTCTATGCCCACATTTGGAACACGACCTCCCATACACCCTTAGAGCCAATTTTGTAAATCCCTAGACCAAGAACTAACTTTTGATTTACTTTCACAAATGTCCACTGATACGCCTAAACTACAGAATAACAATTATGTACAGAAGGGCCACTCAAGTGTGCCCTGCGTCTTCACGGCCGCCAATTTTTCAGCAAGATACTTTGGGTTTTCAACTTGTTTCTAACCGCTACAATAACATGACATCATAGTAAAATAAATGGTTTGAGCCCGTGAGTTTCGTTACATATTTGTAAATGTAGATCGTCCAGGTTAGTATAATCCTGAGAAGGGCTGTTTTTTTGTTGTTGACTGACGTTTCGACAACCTTTGCGGCATTAACTCTAAAGATGACTACCGCAAAGGTTGTCGAAATATCAGTCAATAACAACAAAAACAGTCCTTCTCAGGACTATACCAACCTGGACGATCTACATTTACAAACATGTAATGACATCACATCTTCGTAATGAAATCAAAAATGATGCATTTATTGCAAACGACAAATTTTTTTAAAAGTTTTTTTGCAGACATGTTTTGACAAACTTATGCCATCTTTAGGGCGGTATAATGATTGAATATTTGAATGGAGTTAATATGTAGAGAAATCTGATACAAGACATGTGTATAGACAAAAGTGATGATGCGGAAGTTATTTACAGTATGTTGTGTTAGAGGTGTTAAATATTTACAAGTTAAAGATAGTATTGACATGCTGAATTTGATTGTTAAGATTATGCTTGAGTTTTTTTTATGTACAATACTTCTTTTAGTTTTAAAGAAAAAGAAGTGTTGGCACTGTTTAATATACAAAAGCATGATTGTGAGTATTTAGATTAGCAGTGAGGTGATGAGAGGAGGTGTTTGAATATGTGAGAGTTTCTATCGGAAGTGGTATGCTCTTCAATCCGTGTGGAGAAGTGGCGGCTGTTTTCGCCAATGTAGCGAGAATTACATGCCGCACAAGAAAATTCTTTAACCACACTGGATTCTAAGAGGAAAGGGACGGGGTCTTTGAAGCGGAAGTTTTTGATTTAAAAAAAGGGAATAGCAGTTTTATGTCGAAGTTTGTGCAGTAACGTCTGACCAAACATAGCTACATAACAGACCCATTGCATGTGATGTTACAATCCCGGTGACGTATACATCTGGAGGACAAGCAAACGCGACATGTAAATAACAAAGCAATATTATTGTTAAGGATGGTTAAATTTTGTGCAATTTATGGCTGTTCGAAGTGTGCTGATAGTGATAAGGAATTAAGTTTTTATCGCATACCAGCTGTGAACACAAATGTGAGCAGAATATTGCAAGATTCACAAAAGGAACGTCGTTCTTTGTATCTTCAAAGAATTCGTCCGGCAGACATTGACGATTCTAAATGCACGTATTTACGAGTGTGTAGCCTTCATTTTGTTACTGGTAAGCCAATGAGTTAAAAAATATTTGTTACGTTCGTTTGTGTCATTTTATACCATTTGTTGTTTTTTTTACAATGGCAGGGAAACCATCGGCTTTAACGGACCAAACTAATCTAAACTGGGCTCCATCTCAAAACCTTGGACATACATATGTCAAAAAAGTTGATGTCGATCGCTATGCTCGTATTTCGGAAAGAAATGAAAAACGAGAAAGAAGTGAATAAATTGAAACAGTACTGTCAGCAGTGACCCAATCGACCTTGACAACCCATCTTGTAGACGAAGAATACGGAGTCACATCAGCAACATCTGCTTCATTCTCAAAATCAGAATCGAACAACAAATATTCACAAACAGAACTGAGTTTGGATAAAATAACTGCAATGAAGAGCGAGATCAATCACTTGACAAAACAAGTGGCATGATGCTTGACGAGAAATCCTTTTTAAATGATGACGAAAAAGTCCTCTTTTAAACAGGCCTGCCAAATTGCAAGATCTTGTCAGCAACACTGGAACTGGTACGCCCCTACCTTATGCATTCTCCCAAATGCTCTTTGTCACCATTTAGGCAGTTGCTTTTAACAGTTATGATACTTCGACTTAATTTAACTGGTGTAGATTTAGCTTATCGATTTGGAAACAACAAGGGAACTGTATCAAGAATTTTCTTACAAGTAATTGATGTTCTTTATAATCGATTAAGCCCTCTTATTCATGGCCTGAGAGGTAAGCCTTAAGAAAGACCTTGTGTATGGATTTTAGAAAAATCTGCCCCCAATGTGTTGCCCTCATTGACTGCTTTAAGATTTTTTGGATCGTGCATTTAATCCTCTTGCGAGGGCACAAACGTACTCATCCTACAAGTACCACAACAAGATTAAGTACTTAATTGTTATCACTCCCCAGAGTACAATGAGCTCTATTTCCAGTGGCTGGAGATCAAGAGTCAGTGACAAAAATTTGACTACGAACAGTGGTCTCCTTGATAATCTCTTACCTGGAGATGAAATCTTAGCTGATAGAAACTTTGATACCCAGGAGTCAGTTCATTTGTACTGTGCAACTATCAAGATGCCAGCTTTTACTTGGGGAAAAAACAGCTCAGTGGCATTGAAGTTGAATAAGCCAGATGAATTGCTAATGTTAGGATTCACGTGGAAAGAGTGATTGGAAAAATTAGTAAGAAATATGCACTTCTGAATTTAACTCAGCCAATTGATTTTGTAAATTCTAAAGAATATGAGCCCATTTCAATTGACAAAATAGTTACTGTTAGCTGTGCACTAATTAACATTTGTAATTCTATCGTACCTCGTGGCTAAATAATATTTTTTTAAAGAATTTTGCATGCATACACTTAAAATTGTACTTATAATATTTATAAGACATTTGATTTCATTATATTTTATTTATTCAATTTTTCTGAGTCTTGAGTATCATTTTCCAGTTAACTCTGGAAGGTGTCCCCTCAACACAAATTTTTTTCTGACTCTATGTTCCTTTATAAAAGTTTGTTATTTTGCAAGATTTGTTCAACAAACAAGTCTTTCTCTGTCCACACAACAAAATCACAGTAGCTCAAACCTGTGCATGAAAACTGAGCCATAACCTAAAAAAGTGAATTTCTATGTATTAAGCTTGTTAAAGTGTTTATATTACGAATTTTACCCCCCACCCTTTTTATTAGCTAAATTGAAAGACATTGATTCAGTGATTTTAAATCTACAATTATAATTGAAATTGGATTGGTGAAAGTGATTTTACGGACTTTCAAAGTCACGATTTCCAGAATTTTTTTTGCGAGCTTTTTGATCGGTATGCTAATGACTTGTGACGTAAAAGTTGAACACATATATCAACATGGCGCATTCTACTAGCAATCTTAATAAGAAACGCGGAAGAAAACGCTGTGTTGCTGGCGAACCTAATCAAATTAGTTGCGCCAATGATTCAAACACCAAAGGAATGTCGATGCATCTGTTTCCCAAAAAAGAAACAGAACCGCAAAGACATATACAATGGGTAAATTTTGTGCGTAAACATAGATCGGGATTTGAGACTTCCTCTACCTCGTGTCTGTGCTCTGCGCATTTTGAAGGTTCTTGTTTTGACCTTAATTTGAGCGTACAAGTCAAGCTCAAAAGAGCGTTGAAGAAAGATGCTATCCCAACCATTGACGTAGCTGGGATTCCTGAACCATTACAGGACGAAATAACCGATCGAAAGCGAAGACAAGTAAGTTTAAGCTTGTTTACGTTAATTTTTCTTTTTTCATATATGTAAATTCGATTTAAATTTTGTAGATCATTCAACATACTCTCCATAAGCCATCGCTGAAGGAAACATATTCTTTCGATGAGGAAGTACCATCTACTAGTGATGGAGCTGAGCATGTTGAAGTATGCACTGGTATAAGGTTTTTATTGTTTACTCTTGTTTCAAACCATTAAACTGCATGTCAACTTATATAGTGCATCCATGCATCTCCTATTTGGTTTTCATCTAGGCATATTTCCTGACCATTCTAAACTGAACCAGCAAAGAAGGTCAACATTCTCTACAGTGCACAAGTTAAAAGACCTTTCCATAATCGCCCCTCTGATGTATGTAACCTTTTGTGTTACCACTTGGATATGCTTTCCAGGTAAAGGCCGAGTATTCTCCCATCCCATAGACCCACAAAACCATCGCATCAGCCATTCGTATGCCACAACTCTCAAGTACCTGAAGTAAATAAAAAGGTTGGACTAATTATTGTTGATGAAACAATGTTGATGATAACATTGTTTCTCATACAATTTACAATCTTACATATTTAATGATTGTGATGCTTGGCGGCGATAAGCACGTTCCTATCTCTCAATAGTGGCCCGACGTTTTCAAGGACAGCTTCATGAACTAAAGGCCCAAAATTGGCATGCTGTGTTATGCATGATATTTTCTCAATGCTGCCATCGAATGTTATTTTCTGCAAAGCTGGTCCTATTTCCTTACAGCATCTGTACTCTAATGCGCCTTCTAACAAAGCGGTATGACAGCATTGACAATTACACCTGAAACGTGGGAGCATTGTGGTTTATAAAGTAACTTTATATATATTACAAACAGGAGAAAACAACAACTTACCATTCACCGAGTGGAATTACGCCATCATTCGTTGTTCTAATGTCGCAGGGAGAAATCCATCGGGATGATCTGGAGTATGCACTTCATAACCATCTCCTGCGAGCGGAGCGGTTTATCGTCATATGCGAAGTCGTTTAAATGCTCGACATAACCCACGGATTCCGAGCTCGAATCAGATACGCATTCAGAGATCGAATTTGAATTATCTGAGCACTGATTTAAGGCCATACTTTCCGGAAAACTTGTTTTTTAATATTTTATTGAAAATACTGTCAATATTTGTTTTTAAGACAAGAAAAACGACAACAAAATCACCTCCTATAATATAATATTATATTGACAGAAACAGACGTGTTCAACTATCTACGTCACAAGTATCAATATGGCGTCGTAAAAAATTCACAAATAGTACCCGAGTTTGAGGGAAAATTAAGGAACTTATATTTATCTGTTTAAGTCAAGCGACATGTCATAGTTCTTCAAATAATCCAAATTTTCAAATAATCTCATAAAAAAAGGGGGGGGGCTAAAATTCGTAATATAAGCACTTTAAGCGAATTTATTAAAACAAGTCTTTTTCTGTCCTCACAACAATATCACATTAGCTCAAACCAGTGCATGACAACAGAGCAATATCTTAAGAAAGTGAATAGCTATACATTAAGCTTGCTAAATGAAATTAGAATAATTTACAAATGTACTTACTTGATAGTAATATGCATGAGTTCTTTTAAGTTGTTTTGTGCCATCACTTTTTACTTCAATGCAAAACAACCTGTCATCTGTTGAAGTGTCAATCGTCTAATCTTTATGGAAAAATGGACACTATCAAAACCGAATCAAAAGGTGATGTTCCCAATGAAACATAAGCACAATGAATAACAAACCTTTATTTTACAAATCCCAGTGCCACAACATTGGCAAAAGACAAGTACATCTGGAGAAGCACCAAGAAATCCATGTGTCAAAATGAATCCAGAATCCACTGTTTGTTACTGAAACATTTTCATGGTTTGTGTTTAGCCATTTTTGATATTTGTCTCTTGCCAACTCTTCATGATGGCAACCCCATCTTGTTGCTGCAGTTGAAAATTTCTTCAGCTCTGAATAGGAAATGCTTGTGATAAGACTCTTGGAAGGTGAATCTCTGTTGGTGCAACAAGCTGCTTTGAACCTTGAAGCAGTCACTCTTCCAGCACTAAATCGAAACCAAAGAGGAGATTTGCTTCATCTCTAGTTTTTTCTTCTACAGCTTTTTGCTGTTCAACTGCAACATTAAAGCAGTCCAGTTTCCACATTGATAATTCCAGCAAAGTTTCAAGTGATTTGTCAATAGTGTTGGATCATGAAGATCACTCGTGACTGGTAGCAAGTCAAAGTGCAAGGCTTTATGTGCATAGCAATCAGAATATGGATATACTAAAAAAAGTATTGCTGGTTTTGATGAGGAAGAACTAGTAGTTTTAAAATATTTATCCAATTCTGACGATGATGGGCAGAAACTAGATTTCTTTGCAGTTTTCCTTCGCATATCATATTAAATTTACTAAATTTGATATTCTTTTCTTTAGCGTATGGCACAGCCTTGACAGCACTTGGAAGGACCCAGCATGCCTTCGTTTTAGTCACAGTTAAAGAATCTCGTCTTCGTGCACCAGCTTCAACAGCCCACAGAAGTGAAACGACGTGAGAGCAGCTTTCACCTATTCCTGTCATACCATCGCAGTGCGCTGTTAATACTTTGGCGTTCTTTTCGCAAATAACCTAAGGAGCAAGTGGCTTCTCCTACATTCTTTAAGACTGATTAACCTGGTGTAGTGAAAAAAGAAACAAGGCGTTCAGTCTCATTGGAGAACGAGGGCAGCCAATGTGTAATGTTTTTGTGACAACTGAGAAGCATTTACCTTAGCAATAAGCAAGCAATGATCGTCATATTTTTTCACCAACACTTCACGCACCCACCCATTCCAAAATTTTGATAACTATTAAGACTCTTATGGTTTTTTAACTGCTCTTTCGTGCACAGACTAAACGAAAATAATAAATACACGCCAAAATCAATGTAGCTTACAGCAGGCCACAGATCGATATCGTCGTGCCATTGATTTTTCGGTATTTCGTACAGATCATCTCCATTGCAATGTCCTAATTTCATTTTGTAACGCGCTTTACTATCCTTACACTGAATGTTTTCTTTATATCCAGGCAAAAAACCTTTTTTTACCTATAAAGCGCTGACTTTATGTTACTAACCATATTAACAAAAAGTGTGCACATGTGCTTGTCCTCTAGATGCTCCACCACCAAAAATTGCTAAAGCGTGCGTGACGTCAATGTGTATCATATTTCTTTATATATTAACTCCATTCAAATATTCATTCATTATACCGCACTGAAGATGGCATAAGTTTGCGAAACATGTCTGCAATAAAAAATTTAAAAAAAGATGTCGTTTACGTTAAATGCATCATTTCAATCGTGCTATTACGAAATTAAGGAAATCAAAAATATTTTAATATAAGAAATGACGTTGGGTCATTTTAATGGTTGGGCGCAAGTGAAAAGCACTAAATATCTTGCTGGATTATGGCAGCCAATATGCGCGGCACAACATGCGTGAGGGCATCAGATATTCAGACACAAGTGACTCTTCTGTATATTCTATATTCTGTGCCTATACCATCTGTGTTTAAACTCAATGACACATATGAATGTAATCAGAACACACCTTGCAAATGTAGATTATCAAGAAAAATCTTAAAGTTACGAAAAGCCACTTTTTTCCATACATCTCAATTGTATTAGAAACATCTAAATAATACATGTTTCATCGAACAACAGGACATTGACATGGCCATTTGTTAGTGACACATGACTAAAAGATCAGTTCCTGCATGATGATCTTGTTAATACAAATAAATATAAGCTATTTAGGGACGATTGCAAAAACAAAGCACATGGAGAAGTTTGTTTTATATGTGTATAACTCAAAAAGATGTGAAATTTAACAAACCTTTATATTGATGAACATCGAGTTAAGTTCAAAACGCTTACCACGAAATTTAAAAATATCATTTAAGCATGTTCATACCACAATACAGATGCCGATCATATTACATTGAAACCTCTGTTACAAATTTCACAGTCTATGTTTTTAAACCCTGCTATCATTATGACAGGACATATCAATGAAGTTCATAGATACAGCAAAAATTTTAAGTCACAAATGAACACAGCAATTTTTCTAACAGCTATGAATATCGATGTGAATGATGGCTTAAGTTCGTGTCATCATATTATTACACAGAATAACTGAATAAAAGAATATTTGATTATTTCTTTTCATTAAAGTTTGTATTAAACAATGCTTCTCTAACATTAATTGGCTGGTGTGGAATCAAATCATTCTTGCTTTAAAACAGACTTCATTTGAACATAACTGTATGGGCGAACGGAAGATTGATAATTGTGTAGGCTAGAGTTCGAATTTTCATGATTAGCCAATTTAAGCTCTTTTAAAATCCATTGTTTTCTATTACATCACAACATGTATATTTAAGTATGAGCCCGCCCCCAAAAATTAACAATCAACCTACACCCATTTAAGTATATATACATGCACTGCAAATAACGTCAAATGTTTAAAGTAAGCTGTACTAAGGTTGCATTTACACTATACCGGATTCGCTCATCACGACATCTTCATTTGCTTTGAAGGGATAACTGTACGGATTAAAGGCTAATTAAGTTGGTAAAGTTAGTCCATTTGGTTGTGCTTCCGACTTTGAACAAATTCACTGCCTTTTAGTACAAAGGAAATTCAACCTGCTACGATAGTAATTTGGTATAGTGTAAACAGGGCCTACGTAATCTATGATAATGCGTTATTATAAACATTTTTTGCTGATATTGTTCAAAGTTGGCATATCTATGACATAAACAAAAACCATATGCCGTATCTTTGCTTTACATAACAATTTATTCTTAAGATGATTTAACTTCCGTGACACAAAATAATATGCCACGTATCGACTCAAAAGATATACATACACTGCTTAATCTGCAAAGAACGTCAATTTCGAAAACCTGAAACTTAAATCGTCAATCAGTTAAAGGTTTGTAAGACAAAATAAACTGAATCATTATGTGTTTTTACGATGTATAAATCAGTCCATAAATGTAAATTAATTGCGATCTATTAAGCTTTTTATACATTTTGAATTAATTATAATCTTGCTATAATGCCAGAAAATATATTCATTATTGATTACCTGATTCATTATTGAAGTATTGTATAATTGTGCAATATGTGCTATTTTACCAACTTTGTGATATGATTCAATGGTATATATGCCTCACAAGGCAAATTTATTTTGAAAGAGTAATTCTACAGCTAATGTTGAACTGTTCAAATATTTGAGTTATTTTATAAGTATAGAAATATCGACAAGCAAAATAAGCAAATCCGTTTATTAGTGATATAAGCTTGTATCGCTTTTTGTATATATGGTCTATGAATTTGAAGATTTTCGCGATGCAGCAATGCTTCTCGCTTCCGTTGGTTTTCGTGACAAAATCTGCCAATTGTTTTTGGTTATTTCATAAAAGTAATGAGTTAATGAGTATATACGCACTGCAGAAACATAAAGTCCTTTTACGGCATAAAGCATTAAAACTTACATTTTTTGCACAAATCAATCAATTTGCTCTAAATTTAAAATCAAGCACATGGAAAACAATAAAAATCATAAGCAATATCTATGCTTTACATAACAATCTATTCTTAAGATGATTCGAATTCCGTGGCATAAAATAATTTGCCACGTATCGACTCAAAGGATAAAGATGACGCTCAACAGTATAAACATGAAAACCTGAAAGTTTTAACCATCAATCAGTTAAAGGTTTGTAAGACAAAACACACAAAATCATTAGGCGTCTTTTAGATGCTTACGTACTGTGTATAAATATGATCATTATTAGCTACTAAGTACTCTTATGCAACGATTTTGTATGCAATTATTTTGTTCATTTGGCTACCATACCATTTGCAAATTTTATAACAATTTTTATAAATGGCATGTTAGAAATTATTAATCGTTTTATCCACATTGTATATTAAAGAATGTTATATGCAGTGCGGTGTTTGAAATTAGATGAAGATACGTGCTTCGCACTTTGCTGGACAGTTGAAGCAATTGTCTCATGAACATGAAATATTCAGGTGACTCAACGGGATTCGAACCCATGACCTCTGCGATGCCGGTACAGTGCTCTAACCAACTGAGCTATGAGGTCATGGGTTCCAATCACGTTGAGTCACCGGAATTTTTCAGGTTCATGAGACAATTGCTTAAATTGTTCAGCAAAATGCGAAGATCGTATTTTCATTTAATTTCAAACACCGCACTGCATAAAACATTCTTTCATATGACATTCCTTTCACGAAAAAACATGATCCAAACAAAATTGACCTGCTCTCCACTGTGTGACTTCAAGTACACATGCAAGCTAGAAGACAACTTTATTTTATTTTAATGCCTATAACGTGAAAAAAAGACGTACCAAGTTTCAAAGTCGTCCGCAAAACATTTCAGAAGATATTTAGGGTTATAATCGGTAGAAACGCGTAATTCGATGACCATTGCTAAAACGCCGTGAGATTGTTTAAGTTTGGGAACTGGGAAAGGGTGATGTATTAGTTGACATAAACAAGCATCGTTCTTATATCGTTCTACGACTTGCATGCAGTGTTTGCACGGCTTTTGGTAGTTTGCTATTACTGTTTTATATTTATCAAAAATTAATGCATTCTTCTGAAGAAGCCGATTATGGTATTATCATCAATAACAATGAGGTACAACCTTACATGTTTGAGCCTTTGGCCAACGCGCAAGGTGGTCATAATGATGACAATTCTCCGTCATCGGAAAGCGAAGATAATTACATTCACAGAATTGGAAATGTTGAATGGTTAGTTGCATTTTATTGATGCTTCATTGTTTTTCCTAAAGTAAAAACAATGTTCTTATCTTTTAGGTGTGAGTGTGGCTTTTGTGTGGTCATGAGTACAGGACGGGAAAGCATATGTTGCCAAGAGGTAAACAATACTGATCCTCTGATACATGGCGATCATATTTGTACCACACAAGAGGAAGAGTTTGCCACAGTGTGTACAAACGAAGCTGTCGTAAAAACAGCTATGGTCATGTGCACACATGACATTAGACCTATGCCTGGGAGTGAAGAAAACGAGTGAGGGTCTGATCCAATGTAGTTATTGCTCATCGTCGACGTGCTTTCTGTATCAGACCATACAGCGCTATCCTCAAAATGCTCAATTTCACATAACGTCGTCTGTGTGCTGTGATTTTTTGTTGAAATTTACTCAACCTCCGTACTTTAGCATAAATTATCGTATTGCTGGATTTTTCACAAAAATCAAAACGGCCGAATTGGAAAGTCTATACCTCTACTTATCATATTTTGCACTTTTGTTTGAGTGGTTCTTGACCTTACGTGTTTTTGCGGACGGATTGTTTTGTCTGCTTGGCATTTCACATTGCGCTTCTAAGGTACAAGGAATTTTCTATGAGTTAAAATAACAAAGAAAAGATCAAACGACATTAGTCTGAATTAGTTACCACTGTATATGTTTGTGTTTCGCTGTCTACTTATATTTTGACATCTTTTATTTTAGACAACTTCCTTTGAGGTAAAACGCACAAACATTTCGAGCCGATGTCGAAATGTTGTCGTCGAAGCCTACAAGAAAGTCATCATGTTCTGAAAGAACGTCATCAATAATGTAAAATTATAAAATTGTCCTCAATTTGGTAATTCTAATAGTTTAGTTTTTGATAAATGTAAACAAATATTGCTAACTATAACTATAATAATTACCTCTTGCCTTCGTCTCTTCTCAAATGCAGTTCTAACATTTGTTGGCTGCTTCGTTTTAGATGCTACGCTTGTGGGTTCCACAGAGTATTCAAAAATCGTGGGTACAGCATCCTTCCTAAGGCGAAGCCGTCCTGCTGTCCATCCTACTGATTGCATCGCTTCAAAATTTTGCACGAAGCACAAACTCTCGAAAAGTTTAGAGCACAATTTTCAGCTCTTGTTTGGTTTAAATTTTTGCGTCGGATCTTTTCACTCCAAATATCTTGCATGCGCTTGTTTTCGGGAAACGAAAAAAGAAACCTTTTGCTGCGTTTCGTGGCTCTTAGAAGAACTGTTTTTACAATTAAATGCGGCACAATAAACCATATTTTCAATGCTAAATTATTGTGTTGTTCATGCAGGCAAAGAAGTTATCAATATATTTTGAACGAAGCGCGCAATTGACCGCGTTTAGCGAATGCCAACTATTTCGTCACAACGACCTTTTTCCAGTCGGTAGCCGTCGTTAGCTCGTCGGGCATATTCAATACGTTATCAGTAAAACATCAACTTTAAACCTCAATATTTTCAAAAATATTTATCCTTTGAGTCTCAAACTTTGGTGAACTATTAGTTGGAGTGTCCTTTCATAGCTCAGTTGGTTAGAGCACTGTACCGGCATCGCAGAGGTTATGGGTTCTAATCCCGTTGAGTCATCTGAATTTTTCAGGTTCATGAGACAGTTGCTTAAATTGTCCAGCAAAGTTTGAAGATCGTATCTTCATTTAAGTTAGTCATATACAAAATATTCAATTTTTTTCATTTTTAAAGATGATTATAAGAAACTATCAGTATTTGAAAGACTTTAATGAAGGAAATTAACTAATGGAAAAAATATTTCGAAAATCACTAATTACACTAATTATCGAACATGGCGGCGACTAATTAGCCAATAAATTAACTTTGCTGCGAACATGATATCTTGGGAACCAATGATCCAAATTCAACGAGTAATGTTGTTTTTGAAAGCTTACAGCATAATATAACTAGCCTTCAACATACGAAATTTCAGGCATCTCTGACAAATAACAAATATAATATGACAACAATTTGCTAAGCAAAAACAAAACAAGGTATGTTTGTGATGATGTGTTGGTATGTTAAGGATGTTAAATTGTTTGTTAGAAATCATGAGACTATAGTTTAAATAGAATACATATTTGAGTCGTTTTAAAAGTATGGAAATATTGTTAGACACTCGGCTTATTATTGCTGTAGTCTTGTACTGCTCGTTAAATGTATATTTTCTGAATGTGGAAATTTGCTAATTTTTAAAATGTTGCAATTGTGTTTTGTTTCATTTTGTTCTTACGTTGAACTCTGCGAAATGCTTTTTTTCTTAGCATTTGCTAATTAGCGTGTTTGCTTTATCAAACAATGTCTGTAAAAAGTGGTGTTTGGACAGTTCTGTGCCTATTCAACTTGATAGGGTTTGTATAGTATTTAAAAAAAGCAAGTTAAAAGTATAGTACTTTTAATCTTTTTATATCTAGTACTTGTCAATCGGTTTATACTTGCAATACTTAAGTATCGCTCAATACAAGAATTTTACTACTTTTAGTAATGTTGCAATTATCTTTCGTTTCCATTGGTTCTCTTTACAAAATTTGCTGCCTAATCTTTTAAGGAGGCTACATACAGTTAGAAAATAGGGAACTATTGAAAATTTGGATGCGCATAATGTGCTCATGTCGAGTGGATATTTTTTTACAAAAACGACTGTCCGCGCTGACATTATTGAAGACTTTTTCGTTTTTACATCGGTAAATTTTTTAAAAATTCGTGTGGATGCTTATTAAAACAAAAAATAAAACATATGCATAAAAAGCACCTCCCTGAGTTGCACTTCTTTCAATTATTCTTAAATTTCGATATCTTGTAACTCGTGTCAAATTATGCATTATATTCAAATGACAAATGTATTCTTATTGTTGTGTGTATTGCGCAAATAGCGTTTTAGTTTAGCGTTTACGGCAAACGGCAATCCTAAATGATCCATTTTTCAATGAGGTTTGTTGTTTCGAATTTAATACATAGTTTCCATTTGTATTTTACAATTTGCATTGTCAGGAGATGTATTTCTTGTTTTATTAAAACGCTGTTGATAGCTAAATAGGCATATTCATGATTGATATTCACTTAAAAGAATTACTATGCGTCACAAAAGTCACAAGTTGTAATAGAAATACACAAAAAAGCTTGCAGTACTTTACCTACAACAAAAAGGGCCTCCTGCCCTTAAAACCTGAACTGCTAAACGCAACGTAAACGGCAAAGCCGTCATCACGCCTCGACGAAAATTTGAGCTCTTATGATTTTTCAGCGCCAAAATAATTCGCTAGCCAATCAGATTTTTTAGCGGTTTTTCATTTTTGCCTGCACGTTTGTCTGCCGTACCTTGTTTTTAAAATGGTGGACGTTAAGGATTTTTTTGCTTGGGTAATGATCGAAGTTCCATATCATCTTACAAATATACTTTACAGAAAACCAAGTTTGAGAAAGCAATTTCTTGGACGAAATACGAAAGAAATAATACTCATGGAAGCATATTATATGTCGTGAATACTAAGATCTCTCACGAGCAGATGAAATTCTTCTTTTCATTACCGTTACAAAATACAAACGAAGTACAAAAAGCCATTGCTTTGTTTGCTTTGTCGTTCTGGTAGTCTTTGCAGCAATGAGAATTATAACACGTTATTCCGAAGTAGTAATCTAGTTACTGTTTGATTCAGCCATTTTGTATTGATTTTTTGCATTTTGTGAGTTAATTTTCACACGTAGAAAACAAATATACCCAGTCACACGAAATTTTTTAACTCGAAAATTATCGCTTTTGGCCCAAAAATTTGCAAATGGAAAACCGGCTTAATCAGTACGAAAAAAAGCGTATACGTATAGAGCAAATTGTCTACAACTAAGGTTAGAGAACATTGAAGGTTCCGTTTGTACAATTAGTTCTTCATTTGTTGCTGTTTTGCTTTATGTGAGCTGTTTTATAAATTTAATATACGACCTGTTGATGAAATAAACGAGTGGAACAAAATACCGTCCATTTTTTCTACCCTTCTGATATAATTAACAGCATTCATGTGATTTAAGTCTGGTCTAAAATATTACAGAAAAGCATTTACTGAATGAGCCTTATTATTTTGAGCGATGTTAATTGGAGCTAAGCTGAGCTAAACTGAAGTCAAATGCATATTATTAACAAAATTTACATGAAAGTGCATCGTATGAAGCTTTTGTGAAGGATTCTTGTTCATTCATTTTTTCAAATATAAATAGAATCATTTAGGATGTATCTAGTAAGAACAAAATGCTAATACCTTCTCCTCCAGCAATAATATAAATGAAAAATTTCTCAATTCTGATTGGTTATAAGAATGGCAGTCTTTGAAAAACTCACTTGCGCATGTTTATGCCGAATTGCACTCGAAACCATGTTATTACATAAACAAATAACAAATTCTTTCATATTTAACCCAATACCAGTAGCCTGAGGCACAGTTACGTAAGATTGATTATGATGCCAACACAGAGTCGTAGCTATATTTGTAAAAGAATTTATTATTGTGGAACACACGTACATCAATATCCTTCCTCCTCCAGTGCTCTCTTGTATTTTAAAACAAAATTTAATAAAAATTATGACGTAAAGTCAAACTTTCTAACAATTTTATTCAAAAATTATAACATTTGGCGTGTAGCACATAAAAATATCTTTAAAGTATCAATTATTGGAATGTTTTCCTTGTAACGGACATCCTTCAATGAATTATGACTGACGTTTATGCTTAAAAGCTCAAGAGCAGCTCAAAATATTTTGTTCAAGCTTTACATAATACAGATTTTTTGAGCAATATAACCATCTAGGCAGGTTTAGACGATGTGTTGATGCTATAGGATTAATATATATATTTGTTGTGTCGACATAGATTTCGCTTGCAAAGTTTTGTGCAATGAACATCATTTTGTATGCGAAATTTCATAGCGGAGCATGAATATTAACATTTGCCTCAGTTGGCAGCGAAATCCTACATTCCTGCTAATATATTTCAATGGACAAAAAATCTGTTGCCATAAGGCGCCATACTATTATTTACTTTATCATAAACAAATGCTTGGGGCTTTTCAGTTTATGATCATTGATCATTCAATCATTAGACTGTTGTACTTTATTTTGTTTAAGATTTGAGAAAACTAACATTGATTACATAAGAAGCTACTCACTAAAACCTGTGATTTTGAGTCTTCTGATCCATGAAGCTTTTTATTTTGACAATTTGACCGGAATGGTATTAAACCTTAGTATTTTACATGCGTGAAATGTTGTCCCATGTCACATATTGTCCCCTTTTCTAACTGAACACTTCATGTAGAGATGTAAAGGTGTGTTAATCTACGACGCATACCAGATTGTTTGCCATAAATTCCAAAGGGCTATTGATGTATGAAAAGCATTTTCTAAAAAGTTAAAATGTCTTCCAATGTATGCAGATAAACGTTGAAATTAGGCAAAACAGCAAAGTATTATTCATGATCACCATATAATTTTTCTGATGATCATTATAAAATCTACAATAAATTATTTCAGATTTACATTTAAACGAACTTTGATCATATGAAAAGATATTTATCATAACCAGTAAGCATGACACATGAACCAAATTTAACATTCATGTAATTATATAATTAAAGACATGTTGGTTACATTCTGTTTGTATTTGATAGTACAATGCTACTAGTTATTGCTATATAGCACACCTTGCAGAAGATAACAGTCAAGTGAAATGCCTAATAAACATTCATGGTATTAAGCTGTCCTTAAATGCAAATTTTCACTCTGATAATTATTGCTTAATCTTTGGCAGAAAAAAATTTTGAGTTTTTTCTCAAAAGGTGAATTTGCTGGCACTGATGTGGAGATGGGTAAAGGGTTACAATAAACTTGCATGGTTTGAAGTCTGAGCTTTTCTATATCTATGAACTGTCACTTGTAGTACCAAGACTCGAGCTATTACCTAGCGCGCACGACTTGGTAATACAAAACAGATTCGGTCATTCTTTGTTTCGGTTCGTTGTTTCATATTGTGGTTTCATATTGTAAGAAAGTTTATCCAGTGGTAAGTAATTAATTGCTTCCATTTGACAAATTCATTTAATGCCTTGCTAACTCCTTACTAGAAGGCTCATATGTTCAGCCATAAGTCGTATTTTTTGTTGCGTGGTATTACCGTAATTGTTTAGCATTCTCACGTAATTTTACCTCAATCAGTAATGAGACAAATTCTCTGAGTTTGTATTGGAATAGGAATCTACCTACTACGCATTGTCTTGCAACACGGAATCATTACAATTAAATCCAAATGAAAATCAAATAGTGAAATTCTATTATTTAGAAGACCAACATAAGATATTTCATTTAAAATTTGTACGATAGCAGCTAGTAAAATCAATACTGAAAACTATAATGTTATTTTGCACTTTCAATTTTAGCACAATTATAAAGATATGGCAATGCTACATTATAACGATATTCACTGGCAAGTATTATTTCCTATTGGTTTCTGGTCACTTTCTTTTATTATTCTTATTTCCATGGTGCATGGTAAGCAAATTAGGTATAAATCATGTAAGCTTCGGCATTTAACGCAACCGAGTTCTAAAAATCTCAGATTTCTGTATCGGTGAGAAAAGTCTGTACGTTACTCGAAAATCCAAATATTTGTTTGGAGAGTGAAACAAGTCACAGTTTGAATTTTAACATAACAAATTCCCTAATCTTTTCTTTTGATTGTGCTAACGTTCACGACACACTTCCTCTATTTTAATTGTATATTATTTAAAATATTCTTTTCTTCAATCCTCTCAGTCTATTCTTGTTCACGTAAACATATGTAACCAATCATAAGGTTTATGTCATATTTCACTGTTATTCACCGTTATCTGCATATGAAAGTATTCCTTGAATGCTTTTCGCTCCTTTCACTGCTGTTGCCCGTTTAGGTCTGTACTCTCTTGCTTCTGTGTTTAACTTGACTTGTTTTCCTATAACACAATGCAATTTCAGTCGATAGAGAATCTGTATTCCAGATAACATATTGCTGAAAATTTACTAACTACATTCACAAGCACCAATTTCAGACCATACTGCGTCACAATTTAATTAAGAATTAATCTGAGCATTCGTAATCAACTCTACAAACTCTCAAATTTCATGGCAATAGCAGCCACCATCTGTATGTACTAGTACCGATCATGGAGTAACTTGGTCTATCACAAATTTTCAGATAAATCATTTGCACACGCGCAGTGTGCTTAAACATGCACAGTCATCTCGATCAGCTGCCCAAGTCCATGGACAATTACCAACTGCATCTACTAGCACCGATTTTGAAGTAAATAACATGCTTGATAGCAATTTAATAGAGAAATCATCTTTTTTATGTCCTCGAGCATGTGCAGTCCAGTCGATTAATTGTTCAAAGTCATGGCAACGGCCAACTATATGTACTTGCACTGTGTTTGTGGCAGTTAGCTCACTTGAATCATATGGGTATGCGTGGTAATAATGTCAATCACATTTTAACTTTAGCAAGCCTTTGAATTTATGTATATATCTACAAATTAAAAATTTCATATTGTAGATGTCAGCTAGCAGTTGAAGCTCGGTGCGATTAGTTATGCATTGGCTTAGGAATTCCAGACTTTGGTTACAACCGCACTTTCCCTACATTACTCTAGCAAAGCATATCGCATGGAATCTTGCTATTTCCATTCGCAAGTAGGATAGCGTGAAGGGCCAAAAAATCCTACCGAAACGTTAACATGCCGCGATCTAGTGTCTTACGCCTAAGAAGGTATTGGAAAACATGAAACGAAACAGGATTTTTTGCTTTCAAATTTATGTTTTTTCTTACTTAAGTTTTTCTGATAAAATAAACCAAGCAATGCTCGAATTAACTTCTTTTGACACTTATAATTTAAGACAACCTTAAACAAGTTTTGTAAAATTTTTATTATCTTACTTATTCAACTCTCTCATTTACTGTTTCTCATGTTTTACAAGCAAACCATCCATGGCCTTCATGGGAAACAAAGATTGTCTTGCTCCCTTAATTAGCATAGACAATACTTACACAAAGAGGCGTAACTAAAATGTTAATTGGGAGTTGCGCCTCTGCTTACACAAAGATTTAAAATAATATTATAAAGATATTTAGAAGGCATAACAGCAATATTTCAGAGAGTGTAAGAGGAAAATTAGTTGCTTCCTTGCAAACCTTAACTATAAATCACTTGACCTAGGAGCTACGGAATTTTTCATTGAAATTAATCAAATGGCAACTCGTTGGCATTCACAATTTAGGCCATATATCGAGCCGTTATATTTCACAAACCAGCACAGCTTTAATTGTGATGTAATCATTTCCTTCTAAGGGAGCACTCCCACAGACATTCTACAATCATTCTGTTAAGTTATAAATTGCTCATTTCATGTAGTTATAGCACTAAATTTTTACAAAATGCAAATCATTCTCACAATCCACAATGTATATAAATATATATTGTTGGTTATTTTTATGTACATTAATTTTAACAATTTCCTTTTCACAGTTTGCAAGGTGTAATTGTGAAAATTCAAGCTTAAACAAATATTTTAAAGTGGAATTAGAATGAGAGGATTTAACATCACTCATAATTGGCTATTGCTATGATGAAATTCATGAGTATGTTTAACCAGTCTTTAAAGCATTATACAGTGCATAAGAAAATTGAACTCAATTTATATTCATTTCTTTTATTTTGCTGTAGACGAGATACTAATGTTTGACCAGATGAGATCATTCCCTTAGATGCGACAAATGCTTACATTTTTCCCTTTCCAGCTGTTTAAATTTAGACTTTTCTTCTGCCCTTTCAAACTGTTTTGTTTTTCCATGCTAAAATTTTGGCATGAACTTACACAAATAACTACAATCCCCGTCTCAACATTAAAGAAATTTCCAAGGAAACAGAGAAACTGTCATAATTCCTTCCATGATTGTGTTGGATTTAGAAAATGTAATCCTGAATCGGTAGCAACTATAGCTGGATACAATTTTGTCATAATGTCCTACCCATTTAGCTTACAAATCTTTTGCATTATACACTCTCAAAACATGGTTGTAGTTTATGTATTTAGATGCTTAACTCAAAACTTAGAAAGTGATTACATTCAAAATACAGAAACAGTTAAAGTAATAAAAACAAATAAGAAAAGAGGGAGAATACATACCTGCATTTGACGAGTGCAAAAAACAGTTTTCGTATTCAGCACAAGAATGTGTAGCATGAATACACGTACATCGTTTTTTGTTGACTCTAGTTTCTACATAATGCCACTTATAATCACATATTGGCAATCTAAGATAATTTTTTTATCTTTCAATATTTTAAAATATAAAACGTTGGAATAGATGGGAATGGTTTAATAATACAGTTTTATTCACTGCACTGACCGAAATTTATTTCACAAGCGCCCCTCCCGGGATGTAATGTTTTCCACAATAACAACCAATAACACCAACCCTTTCTTGACAGCTCTTATCAAACTTAGCAAAACAAATTCCCTAATCTTACAAATTTTATTGAAATGTGCTAACTTTCACAACAATTGCATACTGAAAAATCAGAATAAACAATACATCTGGATTCGTTAGTCACACAGTTTTAACTGAAAAGTTATATTGCTTACTGTGTATATACCAATAACAAAAATTTGGAAAATTTTGGTTCGAAGTCACAAATATTAGTAGTCTAATCCATATCTCGCTTTCACAGAAATTTTCTCGTAATCCATGTTGGTGCTTATTTAAAATAACATTCTTGTTAAATGTATTAGTCACCGCTGACCATATACCAAATATGGTAATATGAGCAAAAAACGTTCGTTGTACGTATATATATCTCTAGTAGAGCTAATGTGAAGAACTATCTTGTAAAACTCGTGTTTCTTTGTTAAGCAAAAAAAATCGTTCTAAACTTTTCTCGTTCTATTGGCATATTTAACAGGTTATGGCCCAGGCAGCGTTAGCGAAGTTTGTTTAATAAAGAATAAGTTGGTATAATTTATTAGAAATTGAATTATCTGATGAGATGCTGTGTGATCGACTTCTGGGTCCTCTTAGAGGTCACAGATTGAGACAAATGGTGAATGAAAATTTAGTGAAGGGATTCAATTTTGACATGAAGAAGAATCTATAATTCTGTGATGAATGTGCAAAAAGAAAGCTTCAGCGTAATTCGTTTCCTCATGGTGAAGCGAACAGAGCATCTGATCCTCTTGGTCTAGTGCACAGTGACTACTGTGGGAAATCAAATGTAAAATTTTGTGGTGGTGCAGAATATTTCTTGACGTTTACTGATGATAAAACTCAATATGTTCGGATTTATACTTTGAAACAGAAAAGCGAAGTATTCGGCAAGTTTCAGGAATTGAAATCTTTTGTCGAAGAAGCAAGTGTGTTTAAACTTAAAACCTTAAGAAGCAACAACGGCTGCGAATTTATGTCGAATGAATTAAAGAGCTACCTAAAATCAGAAGGAATCAAGCAAGAGCTCACCATACCAAAAACTCCCGAGAAAAATGGTCTAGCTAAACGTCTTAACCGAACGATGATGGAGTCTGTTCGTACCATGTTGATTCAAGCAAAGCTGTTGCAAAGAGTGTGGGTTGAAGAACTTACGGCAGCCGTGTATTTACACAATAGAAGCCCCACTAAAAGTCTGTTGAAGATGATACCACTTGAAGCTTGGTCAGGTGTGAAACCAGATGTCAGTCATTTAAGAACATTTGGCTGTAATGCCTATGCTCATTTTCCGAAGTACGATTGAAGAAAGCTGGATTCAAAAGCTAAGAAGTGTGTTCCGCTGGATATGGTGCAGAAACAAAAGGTTATCGGTTGTTTGACCCAGATTTTTCTCGAGTCATTTTTAGTCGTGACGTAAAATTTAATGAAAAGCAGTATGGATTTGAGAAACAGCCTGGAACAAACGAGAGTCCACCTAGACGTGTGATCTTACAGCTTTCATGTGATGACGAGAAAAATGACGATGGTTAAAACAACGTAGTTAAGGACGTACCACTGGTTTTTCCGGTAAGACAATGACGCCCACCTGATCGTTACGGAGAATGGGTTACAATTGTCGACGAAAATAATACAGAACCAAAAAACTTTGGTGTTGCACTCGCTGACCGAAATGTCGATAAATAGAAAATGGCTATGCAGGAAAAGATTGACTCACTCAATGAATATGATGTGTTGGAACTGACAAACTACCTGAAGGACGTAAGAGAGTTAGATGCAAATGTGTCTACAAGATCAAATGCAATTCAAATGGCGATACAGAAAGATTCAAAGCTCGATTAGTGGCGCAAGGCTATGCACAAAAATATGGTGAAGACTACGACAAACATTTCTCCAGTAGTGCGATTCGAATCAATTAGAAGTGTAATTGCCTTGTAAGTCCAGAGAAAATTGCAGTTGCTTCAAATGGATATCACAGCAGTATTCCTGAACGGAGAGTTAAATGAAGACGTGTATATGAAGCAACTGCAAGGTTTTGAAGACAACAATAGAAATTACTACGTGTATAAGCTAAAGAAGAGCTTGTATGGGCTCAAACAATCGTCTAGATGCTGGAGTTCTGTTCTGCATGAACACTTGAATTCTATGGAATTTTGTCAAACGGCTGGTGATCCTTGTATCTACATCAGAGATGACAATGGGGAAATTTTTATTATTGCAGTTCATGTTGATGATTTAATTGTGGCCGGCTCGACCAAGGAGAAGATTGCAGAGGTCTAAATTACTATCGCATCTAAGTTTAAGCAAAAGACAAGGGTCCACTAAGCTATATCCTTGGATTGCAAGTTATCCAGAAGAATGGAAGCGTTTGGATGGGACAAACTACCTATACTAAAACCATTTTAAACAAGTTTGGAATGAAGAATTTCAAACAAGTGGGAACACCTGTTGAATCGTGCTCGAAGCATATGAAATGCACAGAGGACAGTGAAATGTTTGATATACACAACTATCAGTCAACATTTGGTAGTTTACTCTATGTAGTTTACACTTGGACAGCAGTAAAGAGAATTTTCCGATATCTGAAAGGAACATTCGATTATGGCTTACATTACACACCCGAAACAAGTTTGGACTGCGTTAGATTTTCAGATGCAGATTGGGGTGGAGATATTAACGATAGAAAATCAACGTCCGGATATATTTTTATAATGAACGGTGCTGCAGTCAGTTGGAAAAGCAAGAAACAAAGCTGTGTAGCATTGTCGACTGCAGAAGCTGAATATATAGCCTTGAGATCAGCTGTTCAAGAAGCAATTTGAATTCGTCAATTGTTTTCTTCGAGATCATATAGAAAAGAAATCCGTGAAACATTCAATATTGTGCTACAAACGAAATGTTAGCAGATTTTTTGACAAAAAGAGTAAGTAAAGAGCAGTTTGAAAAACCACGACAAAAGATTGGAGTAGTATCAGAAGAACAATTAGATATTTAACTGTGAATGAGAAGGAGTGTTGGTGTTTATTTAAAATAACATTCTTGTTAAATATATTAGTTACCACTGACCATATACCAAATATGGTAATATAAACTAAAATCGTTCGTTGTACGTATTATAAATATATCTCTAGTAGAGCTAATGTGTAGAGCTATCTTGTAAAACTCGTTTTTCTTTGTTAAAGTGCACATACAGCCTTTCCAAATTCGTTGAAATTTTAAAAGTTTAGACTGTGGAAAATATGATTTCGAAAAAAATTTCGTAAAAAAAGAAAAAACAAAGTTTTTTTTGCGGTTTGAATTAGCTTGCTTTTGAGAAATTTCCGCGCCGCTGAGGGGACTTAAAACGAGAGGTTTGTGACGTCATTTAAGGAACGTATGAATGCGCTGCATACAAAACAACATAGTGTGAAATAACAATTCTTTATATATTGCTTTGAAATTAATATAAAAATTGTACGAAACATGTCCACATCTGATTCTGAGTCGAGTACAGCAACAACAGCGGAAAATATTGAATTGAACAGTCGGGAATTCGATTTAGAAGACGAAGATCAATCGTCATCAAATGCGCTCCGCAACACCGATGGCGATTTTGAGTATGGCCAAGCTGAAGCGTATGAAAACGAACCACTTGCAGATGAAGAGTGGTTAGAAAACTATATTAGAGAGACAGAAGAAGAAAGACGCCAAACAGAAGAGCTCGAACGCAGAATGCAAAATGAAGTTCCTCTTGATTCTTGGTAAGAAAAGTTGGAAAATTTGTTTATTTATTGTTGCCGAAGCTTTTGACAGATAACTTTCGTAGGTGCAATTGTGGTAACTGCCGTGTTCCTCTCTTGGTTAATCCAAAAGAATGTAGATGCTGCCACGAAATTGCCAATTGCATGATTGAAATGCAAGATCATATGGTGGTATCCGAATTAGGAAGGCAGCCAAAATGCATAACAGAGCATCCAGGATTTGATGCCATTTGCCTCAATCGATGGGTATTAAATTTAGCTGCCAATCTTTACCAAAGACGAGATGGAGTTAGATATCATAAAGGATTCTTGGAGCAAAGGTTTGTTAGAATTAATAGTTAAATGTTTCTGTCTGGGTTATCTATGAATGCACACTTGAAAAATTTGTATTTTATGGACTCCTACCTGTTTTAATGGACCTTGTGTATTATGCCTTTTCAGGTTTTTTCGAGTTGTTGCATATAGACAATTTACAAGAATGGTACATGGCATTCTTCGAGACAAAAGAATTCCACTTCCAGCTTGTGCTTACCATGTTATTCGAAAAACTTTTAATTTAAAAAAAAATGAACACTTTGCAAGGTATGAAGAGGACAATCTGTAAAATAACATAAAATTATATATCATTTTAGGTGTTGTTTGCATGAGCCCAGCTAGTAGGGATTCAGTAAAGTGTGGAATGATTTAAGCCACTCTTGATATATTGCATCTTCGATTCACACTTATACTTGTTATACAAAACATACAAAATTACAATTCCTTTCTCTTTTTTCTTTCCATGCAGTCAATTCTCACTTCACTGAATCCCAACTAACTGGGCTCATACCACCAGGTCCTAAAAACTGGTTACTTTCGGTTTTTGACAGTTCATTATATTTTTATGGCCTTTCATTTTTATGTCATTTCGTGCTGTAGAACTCTGATCACCTTTGTGGCAGAGGTTCCAGCAGTAAAAATAGCAAATGACAATAGCAAATTTCCAGCAGGAATGGAAGTCCCAGTCATGACTGGTTGACTATTCCATGTTGTGGCTGCTCCACATTTTTGATTGGAACAACTAACTTTCACTTTTTCCATTGAACCATTTTGCAATATCTCAACAAGAACATCATCTGATTTGCAAATTGGGCAAAATTTAAAAAGTTCAAACAGTTGGGTGAAGTACACAATGAATTTTTTCTCTGTTCTTAGGTTGGTGTCTTTGTTGAGCACTCTACAAAAGAAAAAACTCAATTTATGAAATGCAACAGTAGCTATCAATAAATACAATTACATTACATACTGGCACACATTATTTGTGTCATCAAGGTAGTGACTGATTAAATAAGCTGTTTAACTTTGATTTATTTAACAATCACCACTATTTTAACATTGTCATGGTGATTGATACATTACAGTTCTCATCCAAAAATTGTTACCTTTTAAATGTTCTTGGCTGCTCTGATTCAGAGTCAACTTCCATGTCACTAGATGTGATTATCTCTTCTGTCTCAGTCTCTTAACTTTGTTTAGCACCAAGATCACTCTCTGAGTCTGAGTCACCACTAAGATCATTTGGGTCCAAAATCTCCTCAGCAGGACAACTATCAAGATCAACCACTTTGCAACTAGTTGATGATTCTTCATTGCTGCTGTTGTTGTCATACTCATCTATGAAATAAGATACTTCAGTAATGCGCAGCTACACAAGGTTGATTAAGTCCATATTTCTTAGTAATTAACTTCAATAATTTTCCAGGGGTGCATGCAAGCTTAGTTGGTACTATTGTAGAAATTGAGGTTATTAAACATGGCTGATCTTATTACTTTGGCAAATCTTCTCTTGACCTAGAATCATACATGAAATAAAATTAACAGGCGTATTATGTTAAAAAACACTTACCCACTGCAAGCATATCCATATTAGAACTGCTTGCATAAGTTCTGCTACACTGAAGCTTAAGCTTTGCCCCAAGCCATAAGTTCCTGTAACGACGTTTCTCTTTTTCAAGTTTTAAACAATTTTGGCATTGTAATTCACATTGCACAGCTACTTCCTAAATTAGAAACAACAGCAATACATATACAAAACAATAATTTACGTTAACCTTTACAGCAGTGGCGTAATAATCATATAAGTTTACCTTCTCAATACAGTTCATTGTTTCTCTATAGGTTCGCTAATTGGAATATTTTCTGATTCAACCTCTCTTTATAATAAGACATCCACTTTCTTTTCATGTAAAATGACATATATTTATGTAATGTAGATATCATAATAATTTCATATTATTCTGCGATCGCTTGTTGTAAGTTCATTGTCATCTTTTCGAGAATAAATGCTCGGGTAAGCAACGATTCCGAATTCATCTCGAATGAGTCGAGGTGAAAAATTACTTTCTGATTCAGAAAGCGAGCCGAATTGCCGAGAAAACGAATCTTTGTGAAGTGTTCCGAGCAAACTGCGGAATTCTTTGTGGGGACCCACTTATCGCGAGTAGCTTTCACAAAGTTGACCCATCGCTTTTTCCTACGCTTAGCTTCGCTTCTTTCGTCGTTAAAAATGGTATGCGATGAAGTGAAATGCCTTTCTCCGAACTGGCTACGTTAGAACAACCAAAAACTACACATCAATCTGGCATTTTTGTGTTTGTTTACATGCATAAACAGTGTAAGTTGTTTTGGAAGTCAGTCTGTGTTCCTTAAATGACGTCACAAGTAAGTCCCATGCCACGGATTAGAGCTCTCGGCATTTTTTACAAAACATTGAAATTCAGGTTTTATTCGCATCTTTGCCGAAAGATAACTCAAAAACGAAAAAAGTTATTCAAATTCTGTAAACGGCATTTGTATTATTTATCCAAAATCTATTTGAGAATAAAAAACTAAAAATAGCTGTATGTGCACTTTAAGCAAAATAAATCGTTGTATTCTCGATCTATCGGCATATTCAACAATCCACTTGATAAAGCTTCATGTTATTTGCTCTGTGAACCTTTGTTTGTAAACTTTGAAAAAATAAAGAGCTTAAACTTCAAAGAAATTTGAAACAAATTATACCTTTAATTTACTGTTCTTTATAAAAACTCAGTGTTGATATCGACCGATATGTCAGTTAGTACGAACAATAGTTTTATTAGGGTATTTTTATTTAGTAGCAAAGAGTATGTTAGCAGATTGTAATTGTTTTTCTGAAAATAACATAGTGCTGTATAACTGAATTTCAAATTCTTTTATTTCAAAGCCTGTGAACTTGTCACATTTGTGAAAGTAACAATACTGCTGACAATAACCAACATTGAATGACCGCACTGCACTGCAAATAACAATCTTTCAAATAACCAACATCTCAACATATCTACTAAGTTTTTTGATTATTTCATCTAAATTCAAAGAAAAATTTGAAAATCCGTTAATGCACGAAAAAAATGTCTGCATGGTATTTAGTAAGGATCTGGTTATTCTTTCAACTGATAACAAAAACCTAAACTTTTAAAACATCTAGCATTCGACTATGTTGTTTAGAGAAATAAACTAAAACAATGATTATTAAAAATGTCGCATTGAAGTATCACCAATACCGAAAATTTCCTCCTCTATCGCGTTCATTCGATTACAAAAAACCTCAAACCTTTCTTGAGAGTGTTCTTTATGTTGAAATAATATATTTGGTTTGATTTGGTAATTTATCCCGAGATAAAAGGAGACAAACTATTAAAAATAACTCATATTACTACAGATCACTGTTACGAACGTCCCGACTAATAATGAAATGGCCGCTTTTGATTCAATTGCTCGTAACAAAAGGAGTAAAACTTTGTGGAGAATTTGTTATCATTTTTTAAGATATTTATTCAATACACTAATAATTCTGATATAAACGTTATAACATAAATGTTAAGTGTTCAAACTTATCTAGGACAACTAATTTCAGTGAGTCTTACGTTGACGGTTATAATGTTCTGGATTCTTTAGTTCTTTCGTAGATGGTTCGTTTTCTTTTATTCAGTTATTTTCGGGTTTCTCGTTTGTTTATGTTTCACTTTTTACTTCCTTTTGATGCGGACTTCTACTGGGTACCAACATGACTAAAGCTTTCGTTTCTCTGGTTATAACTGATCGTACAATGAAGTAGGATTAAGCGCCTGTACGTAGACTGTGGTCAGTTGTTTAAACACGTCCTATACGTTTTCTGTGGTCAGTAGGTTGACCACATCCTATGTGTAAGTTTTTCCTGTTATTTTGGTTATCATACACATGCATGTATGAGTAAGCATTTTACAAAGGTCACTAACCAGTTAAATAATAATATATTTAAGTATAAAATATGGCAATAATAAATATAACTTACATGATTAAGGATTTTCATGTAACATCACTCATCAAAGTTAGTCACAGTAAGATGGCTGCCACACTTGACTTCTGACTTCAATTTTTTGTATGTATAATATACAATAGATGCGCTTTCCATGTATTTAGCTCAGTGATGTTAAGGTTAAGCGTAAAGATATGATAAATAGGACTAGCACTTTGTATTATGAAATGAGTAGAAACTAGAAGAAAAACGAAAAATTTGTCGTGAGTAACGTCTGCTTTTAATAGATTCAAAAAAGATACGGCTTGAATTTTAATTTAAAAATTAATGAAAGAATTTGCAAAGACTTTTCAGTGATGAATTTTACACCACTACTAACTATAAAGCATAAAACATTTCCTTTCAAAACGTACATGTTGATAACAAGACTTAGGAGATTAAAACTTTGCATTGTATTACTGAGGATGCTATGGCAACAATATCCACATTTCATGTATGTGATATTTCCAACGTTTCACATGGTGTCATTGTTGGTAATATAGCAGAAACATCAACAACTAATGTGGATAGTAAGTCCAAAGTATCAAACTTGGTTGGTGAGGATAATATGCAAATAATATTCCCAAATCTTATAGCTTCATCGTATTAATTACTGTCTTAGCCAACAATTTTAAGTTAATTAAAGGTAACAAAATACCCATTAACCTCAATTGCAGATGAATGCATGTTTTAATCAAGTTAAATGCACAGAAATATACATTTTGAATGGTGGTGAAGAAAGAGCTAGTAATAAATCTTAATTCTTGAATCAACCCAATCGATGATAAACATCAGTTAATGATATGTCAGTACAGTTTTACCAGATTCTCTAGTCAAACTTCTTAATTAAGTCCTAAGCTCATATTTTGCTGTTTACTGTGGAATTTACGTTGGCATTTGGTTTACTATTATAGCAGTACCAATGCTTGAGACGTCTTTTTGTACTTCTGCTGCAGGTTCACAAATTTCCATGTCTGAACCATACATGTCTATTGTTGTTTCGTGATCGGACGTTCCATAGATATCTTGTCTCGCTGCTGTTTCTGGTTCATATGATCCTCAAATATTTCAACATGAGGCTCCAATGGCTGGAATAACTTCTAATAAACTACTATTATAAAGATTTTCAACCGTCGTATTTTCAGTTTCATAGATGTTTTGTACATCGGCGATAATGCCTATGCCATACGCAGTTGTAACACGTGTTGCGTCATACAGCTTTTGAGCTATGTAAAGAAAATGAATAATTCCGTTCAGCATTTTATCAATAATTTTCCTGTGTTTTCAACAATATTCTTGCGCATTTGCATCCACGCAAACTAGTAATTATAACTTTTTGTTCATGGTAAAACGCTTTTTGAAGTGTTTAATGAAGTTGTTTTATAAAGGAAATGGATCCATTATATAACAACAGAACGAAGTTCTTCATGTGGAAGAGAAACTCTTTCACTTGATACAAGAATAGGCTTCAATGTATAAAAGATTGTTGTTATAACTCAATTATTTAAGAGAAGAATAGTCTTTATTGTGTGTTAGATACTAATAAGGTCCATAAGACTTAATTTACAATTAAGGTTTACATATACATGAACCTGTCTTAGTTATTGGAGCATCAAAATCGCGTAATTCGGAATACACCGAGTCGGCAGCCTGAATTTTCGTAGCAGCAGTATCTGTGTCTTTGTATTAAGCGAGAGGCAAATATGTGATGGGAAAATATTAATGTACATCCTAAAGACAATAGCGAATGTACTTATCGACCCCTCTCTCTCTCTCTCTCGTCCTTTTTCTGTGGAAATATTAGACGTTTGCATTTTTAGTAAACACATATATGTCGGACAAAAACATCTATAGGTCTGATATCTGCAAGAGCATGCAGGTAAAGCCCTCTTATCTTGATAGCAGAGGGGTCTTTTTAAGCCAACTACTAAAGTTGATTTGAATTGAAATTACTGCCATATCTGACTTTTTTTCTTTTTTTCCTTTTTCTTTTCTTTCTTCTTTTGCGACACATTTTTCGCCTTTCCTGTCTTACCTTGCTTTGCAGTTTGTATGTTCGTTTTCTATTGGAAATAAAATTTGATAAAAATTTTGCTTGTAATCTGTTGTAATTTTTGTATGTAAATAAAGAAGACCAAAAACCTTCGTTTAAATTTGAGCATTGGCGTAGCCAGCCCGCAAATTTGGTCCTCCTATGTGAATTTTTTTTGTGTTCACTCACTGTAAAAACAAAAGATTTCTAAAGAAATGAATAACGTTCATGTCCTAAAATTTACATAGCAAGATCAAAACTTGACGGCTGTCTACGCCACTGAATTTGAGTGTCAAAAAGTTCCAAAAAATTGTTACTCAAACAGCGTTACACGCAAGACAACGTTTAAATATTAATTGCTATATGTGGCTATCAGTTATTATAAAAATTTGAAAAGGAAAATTTTCTCCCTAATACTCCTGTAACTTTCCGCAGAATAAGTATACAATTTATTCTTTTAATTTCCCAATATTGACAGCGTACAAAGACTGACTCCTATTCTTGTATTTTTCGATTTTGAGCATAGCCTGATATTATATGTACACTTTTACTAATTTTGTTCTTATATCTGAACTAAACAATGCTACTATCTAAATTTGCTAATCCGAAAGTTATATTTGTACCAATCATGATTAAATTTTAATTGTTTTTTTAGCTAATGTCTATTTTGGATTTTTTGAAACAGATCTTTTTATTCGCTAACTATGATGTTTCTGAACTTTATTGTTCTCAATGCATGAACACTAAGCATCTTCATCATTGTTGACCATACACCATACGCTTAATGACGTCGAAAGGCAGAAGAGCTTAGCGCATTGTGGAGTTAGTTGTCACACGAATGAAAACACTACAATATGCTTACTATTTTTAGGTAGTCTGCGACTGTTTCTCAAAATAAAATACCTAATTTTAATTAAAAAAAGACCTAAGCTCTCTTATAAATTCTTAATTGGATCTTAAGGTGTTTGGCGGATATAAAAAAAAACAGCAAAAGAAGAGTTTCGGCGTTCCTACAACGGCAAAAGGCATCGCGAGCTTTTTCTTTATTTTCTGAACTGTAATCGTATATAATACACAAATACATGCATGGAACAGGTTATTATAGTATCGTAGAAGATTCTTTATCAAACTTTCGCCTGGCTAATGAGTTCACAATGTACTGCTATCATTGCATTTTAACGTCATTACGCATAAGGTCTATTAAAATTCTTGACAGAAACTTACCTTTTGCTGTTTCACCTTTTGTTGCAGTCCGTCCTGTAATGATGATACAGCTTTACAGTTTAGTTGCATACTTGATTACTTTCTGCTGCAACAAACTGGGGAATAAGATGCTAAGTTTTTTTAAATACACACGTGCACTGCAATTTATTAGCTAAAAAAACAAACTATCCGTCCTAATTAGAATTGTATTTTGACGATGTTCTACGACAATTGCTGATGGCAAACTTATAATAAAATTAGTAATGTTTTAGAACAACAAAATTACAAAAGATTTAAAACAGTTGTTCTATAATTATCAAGTAAAATTTTTTACTAAGGACTACATTTTCGTTGCTGTAGTGCATTTGATAGCAAAATTAAGGAAGTAACGTAGTGTAGCAACAGAAATTCTTCGTCATAAATAACGAGATGTATTGAAATACTTATGAACCAAAGTACCATAAGGAGAAGAGAAAAGATAAAATACTGCATTTGAACGTCTTTTAAAAATAATGAGAGTAAAGTTTTCTTTCACAGTTATTTTTCATAGTTTAAAATACATGTGAGGGAGTTATATAATCTATTTGATTTAAACTACTCAATGAGTTTGATCCATTTATCTTAGTTAAAACACTCCAATACATAAATTTAAGTTGAAATTTCCTTAACACACACCTCCACCCGCACCCCCAGCCCCCGTGTACAGCCTCCGGTGCATAAGCATAAAAACATTTAACTTAAAGTGGTACTAAAACGAAAATTTTGCCTACCGTTTTTTTTTCATAGATTAATAGTGTATGTAAAAAAATCTCTTCTGGCGAAATTTTAGCGCAATGTATTTAATGCTGCTCGAGTTACGTAGCGATAAAACTTGTACTTTAAGAGCCGCCATTAAAATGCGCCATATTTGAATTTTCAAGAAGGAAGGTGCTTGTGACGTCATATTCTTAACTCGCGGCTGTTTACAATATAACACTATATACAAATAGAGATATAAAAGGTTGTATAACTCAATTTTTTTAACATGCCTTCAACACGCTGTGTCGTGCAAGATTGCAGTAATACGTCTGATAGAAGTACAGGCATTTCATTACATATAAGCCCAAACGACGAGTCTTTAAGAAGAATTTGGGTTAAATTTGTTGAGACGAAGCGCGCAAACTTTAATCCGAGTTCGCGCGAAATTCGATTTATGATTTGTTCGAATCACTTCTCGGATGATTGTTTTGAGCGTTTTTTCCATTTGGGTGGTATGACATAGACGGCTCAAGTAAACATAGACGCAGGCGCACAAAATAATATTTTTAGAATTTTCACAAAGAAAAGGCTTACCCTCTCTGGTCTTTGACCATCTCGAAAAACGGTCGCATAACTGCGATGACCTTTGGTCTTTAAACCTAACGAAGCTGCTTGAAGAACAAATTGTTCAGGCAAACTTCGTTAAAGCCAGGTGATCAAAATGCATTTTCTTTCATCGACTTCGAACTGATTCATTTTGCCACGGCATTGCTCTAATTCCATGCAGCATCGGCACTCTTGAGGGTTGACAACAAGATCCAACGAACAATGGCCACATTCACACCTTTAATATTGGCCAAATTGTATGTTTCCATAAAGTTATCATAGCTAACGGCAGACGATTCAGATCAAAGTAACACACTAAGAATGACATCTTACCATGAAGTAACATCAACACGGGCATCAAAACGATCTTGCAGCATGTCCTCAACCTGCCGTTCTTCTGCGACTGCAGCTTCGTACTCAGCAATTTCATCGGGCGAAGCAAGCGGTTCAATATTATCGGCAAATGGCAAAATTTCCGAATTAGATTCGTCCGAATTTGCCGTCATGAATTCCGATGAAGAAATTGATGCGTTTGTCTCGATCGAAGACTCAAAAGCGAGCTAGATCTCGATGAATTTGACATTTTTTTGCTCTGTTTATATATTACTTTGTATACTTTCCAATGTGCGCTTCTTGCCGTGTTAAGAATATGACGTCACAGACCTTTGCTGATTGCAAATATTCAAAATGGCCGATTTTAATGGCGGACATGAAAATTAGACATTTCAAATGTTCATAACTCCCTCGTTATACTATTATTTTTGCTTAAATTTTACTAAAGCAATAATTGATATGTGTTTAAACTATTGAATGCTAAAATCGATGATTTTTTAACGTTCAGTTTTCGTTTTAGTACCACTTTAATAACACGAACAAATGACAATATTAAACATCCTACCAATACGATTGTGTAGACTAAATGGTGGTCCAACTCCTGCAATTGTTCTAGCTTTAATATGAAATCTATAATCGGAGTATGGATTCAAGTTTTTCATTTACCAAACAATAGCGTTTGAGGATAAAGACGAGATTTTAACCTTTCTGACTTTGGAATGTTCCATTTATTCATAAACAGTGACCTCATAAAGCAAAAGGAAGCCATTTTGATCCTTGATATCTGGTGCTTTCCATTTTATTTCAATTGATCTTGAAGTTAGAGTTCTCATGGTTATATATTGAAGTGGGGCAGATGGTGCTGTATTAATTAAATAGTGTTTCACAAATTACTGATAAACAATAATTAATATTAACATGACAAGCGCAAGTAAAGAAGCAGTTGCCTGCTTCTCCGGTGCGGAAGTCAATGCGACTTATCACCCAACCTTTGAGACGTTCTACCTACATAGCGAGCATCACACTCCCATTTATATTCATAAATTACATTGCTTAAAAGTGGTACCGGTAGAGATTCTTTTGGGATGGGTGAACATGAATCAAATTGACCGTTAGCGTTTTTGGATGTTCTTGTCCATAAACGCAATGGTCAATTCCTTAGAAGCATTCATTGCAAGGCAACTTTTACGGGTTTTTACACACGCTTTGACTCTTTTCCTTCACACAGAGAAAAAATTTCTTTAGTAAAGTGTTTAATAAAGCGAACGCCTAGACTGTTATCAGAGGAGTTCATTGAGGGTGATCTCAACTCAAACGAGATCTAGAAAAATTACTATTATTATAATAATCTATTAATTTACTCCCTATCATTAAAATAACTAAATACAGGATGCATGAAAGATACAATCCTTTGAAGTCACGCATTACCCAGAATTATAGAATTAATTAGCACCTATTGAGGTATAAACATGGAAGAAATCAAAATTATTAGATACTCGGTATTTAAATGTGCAATATGTGCAATTTGTATTTATTATCTTTTGTGATGATAATTATGATATTTTGCAAATTGAGTAAATATAAATTATAACTCGTTTGCGGATCACTTACAATAAATCATTCAATTTTAAACTTCTGTGTGTCTGTGACTCCAACAGATTGTTGTTTTCGTTATTAAAATCTGTATAAATTTATAATGAAATTGTTTCATAAAATTGTTTTAAAAATTTTTATTAAAATTAAAAATTATATCACTAATAAAATTTATCAGTATTATGAGAAATCACACTTTCCTTAAATTACAATATTTTCATAGTTCATACTTTCATCAGAAGCTGTGCTGTTCGGCCTGTTAACACATGCAAGCACTAAATCAAGTTCCTTTATCGTTATATCATGTGTAAATTTTAACCTAACATTGATTATCAGTTAGGTTATCAATTTCATGCCATTATGAAATCAAGCCATTATGTATCATAATGATACACATTTTCTAGATGGGACTGAGAAATTCCTTTAAAACCACAACATCACGCAAATGCGATCAGACAATGGCAATGCATTACTATGTCAAAACATAATCAAATTTGAAAATTACTTTATAGCTCGTAACTCTCCTTGCAAGTTCCATGTGCTAGTTATATGCTTGGGAATAAGAAGCTCAGAATACAAATCTCTTACTTGCGTTCCACTTCGAAATGGGCCCCTACGCTTCATACGAGAAATTGCTTCATACAATCTTGTTTGAAACACTCCTCTAATAATGGCAATATCGGTGGTCTTTTCCTTGTGAAACAGAGACCAAAGATCGAAGTTGCTTCGCACAAATTCTGCCATTATAAATCAAAAACTAAAAATATAGATATATCCGTAATCCAAGTGTAATTGTACTGCAGGCTATGTGCATCAGTCACTGATGCACTCCAGTTGATCGTGGGCTTAATGCACTACTTAGCAGCCGTTTCCCAACGCAAAGTAGGCAATAAAACATTAGTATTCATGACGTCTTGTTTGGTAAATTCGGCCAAATATACTCGGGACTGTTGCACTTCTGATGCACTTTTCACCCAACGTGACGATAGTTATGCACTATCGCCCCAATGTGACGTAAAGATACTGAACTCTTTGGACTTATTCACGACTGTATTAATTTTAGAATATAATTACATTTTTGTCAAAATTGCTTAAGCGATCGCTATATTTTGGTAAATATTGTCGGTTAAATGGATATCTTACTGAATTTGTTTTCATTTCTATAATACTTGGTGTAAATTTTTTAACCATGTATAAACATCGGTTTACTGAAGGAAAATGTTTTAAATTAATTCACTAGTAATGCATAGGGCTAACTGTATACATTTTTGCTGATTTATTTCACTTTTTAAAGTTTTTTTGAAAAACGAAAATTTTGCACCATCTAAAAATCTTACTGATGCATTAGCATCAGTGGCATCATCCTGGATCCGCTCCTGACAGCGTTATTGCATTGCGGAATCAATGAGGAAGTTATAGATGGGGCAACACATACAGCTTTAGAGGAAGCACTTACACTAGCTTTAGAGGAAGTTAAACATTCATCTAACAGGGAATTCGTTGTTTCAGTGCGCCCTTGTGAGGCTGATGCTATTAGCCTCTTCGGAAGGAATGATTTAGAGAAGGAAATTGACAGGTTTCTTAGTGTTATAGACTACTCCTTTAGACCTGCTGATGGTTTTGTTGCACCCATCTCAGATAAGGTAGCGGACATAAATTATCTTAACCACAATCACAGAGAGGAAACTACACCTAGCCACAACAAAGCCATCATCAGAGAATATACACAATGTTATTTGAAACAGGCTTTTTAAATGCACATGAAAAACATGTGACATGGATAAGACTTGAACTCTCACCTTCGGGAACTATTACGCCGCTCTACCTGTTGAGCTACCAAGCCCACTCGGAATGAAGTCAAATCTTTTCTAAACAAGTTATAGACGAGAAATTCTTACCACGATAGTAGTTTTCAAGATGGCTACGTGTTTCGATTTTATTCTAAAGACATCATCAGAGAATACACACAATATTATTCCTAACACAATATTATTCCCAACACAATATTATCCCTAAAGTTTTTTTATTGAACAGTGGGAGGAGACCCTATCCAACCCAGTACAAGAAAGGGAGAAATTAGCAAATCCTTTTTGTTATAAAGAAAAAATTAAAACACATTCCAGTTAATTTGTACACACCAGAAACCTTTGGAGTTTTTAGCATAGCCTATTGATCCAAGATTGTGCATTGTCACCCATTTAAAGGCATATCTTGACAAGATAAAATCTTTAAAAAATGATGAAAAGCAGGACGTAATGAATTGCATAAGACCTCACAATTTGGTCTCTCGAGAGATCACTTCTTAATAGATGATAAAGTTTATTACTGCGATTTGAATTAACACAGAAGTATATAAGAGCCGCACTACATGTGCAGCTTTACGTCATCTCTTGATGGGAAACGATTTTACATTAAAGATATAATGGGTGCAGCAGGCTGGATAAAAGAAGGGACGTTTCATCAGTTTTATCGTCAAACATTTTGTCATGTTTTAATTTCGGGAATGCTTTCATAAATGCTAACATATAGGATTTGTATTTTTTTTCTGGATTATGTAGTTTAAAAAAATCTTTTTTTTAATATACATCTTTTATTGAAACGTTGCCAAAATTCCTTTCTAGCCTAAATGGAAACAAAGTATTCTGCTTTATATTATAGATATATTTCTAGTTGATAAACCACATTACTTTAAGTCACGACATTGATAATCCGTTATCTATAGATATGGCATTTACAATCCTTATGGTAATTTACGAGAAATGCTGTGTTTGGAAGTGAAATTGGAAGTGAAATTTTAATCGTTGAATTTGCAATGAGTCATCCTCACCGTTCACTTTGTACTATCATAAAGTGTCGAATGCTGCAGGGAATAGTTTTTGTAAGATAGTACGTTACTAGTTCGTCGTAAGTAGAAAGAAAAGTACTTTCAACTTTGCTTGATTACCTGCTAACACAATGTGGAAACAATACCGTTCCCGTATTAATATTTATTATGTTAATAATAATCATCATTATTATTATGTATTATTATCATGTAGTAATAGCAATAGTATCCCGTATTAATAATGACATTTAAAAGTAATTAAACTTACAAACGCATAAGGATATTTTTATCTGAACGATATCTACACGAATCAGCGCTGAAGTTTTGTAAAAAGGAATGCTCAAAAACATGCAAAACACGTAAAACATGATTTTCACCAATCGTAGGCTGAATTTAAGCTTACCCATGCCTCCAACTTTGTCAAATTTTGCAGGCAACGACCTACTTGTGCTATTTATTAATTTTAATTTAGCGAATCGTATGACGTTGTATATGACGAAATTACTTTATGCAATTTCATTCTTAGTTATAAAACTTGCCCCAATTATGCTGGTTTTGTGAGAAATCCTTCAAACTATTTTGACTTAACCAATTGTAATTTTAATGGATCATTGAAAGAAATCAATAATTTGCTTCATTTTTCCACTATGTCAGAAAATTCTATAATATTATCAAACCAAAAATATTCCAGATGTTGAATTGTAGGACAAAATATAATTTCCTTGGTAATAAATTCTTCATAGATAAAGAAAATGAGATTGTAACACCCACATGCTTGCCAAAATAAGTTTCAATTAGTTAATTAGGTAATAATTCTTTAATTATAAGTATAATTAAAGTAATAATCTTTCAAACATAAATTTCAACAGCGATATTTTGCTTTTCATCAACACTGCACTCCATCAATAATTCATTGCATGAGGTACAGGAATTCTGCATTCACCAATAACAGGTGAACAAGTATATGGACGTGGACAGCAATATCCTCCATCGCAGCATTGTGCATATCTAACTGGACAACATTTATAACCTCGTGAACTTTGTCGATCACGGCAACACGTTTGATAGTTTTCACAATATGCACGTCTTGAACATCGAATCCTCTTTAAATTCTGTAAAATAAAGTAACAATAGCTCGTTTACATAACTCAAAAGTTTGAGTAAAGAAGCTACCATAGTTGATAGAGAATCAAATTATTTTTACAAACACAAGGTTAAAAATCATGTTTAGTTTAATGATGACTTATAAAATTATATAAGTAAGATGGAAAAACAGCGACGAAAAGCAGTTAAATTTTAGTCTCTTTGTTTAGTTTTGGTAGCTGAATGAAGTTAACTTTATGGAAGAAAGGAAGTCGACAGACTAAAATGAAACCTTGTGAGGAAGGTCCATTTACTTTCAATTAAAGAATATAGTTTTTGAGGAGCGTACTAGATGTTCTAATTTGTGGCCACAACATCTTATTTGTCACAATGAGTGTAGAAAACATAAACACAAGGGCGAAATTAGAACTCTAATTGGAGGGGGTGGTAAATATACCTATATTTATCTCTGCCAGGCTGGTTTCGTTTAAAACTAACACCCCAACGAAAGAAAGTAGTTGAGAAGAGCTGCATATATGAATGTTCACACACCTCAATTAGCGTTCTAGTTTCGCCCCCGGATACAAGTCAAAATTTAATGTCCTCTTAATGGCCAGAACAATGCTTAAAAATTTGTAAGTTTTTAGTAACAGAATAACGTTATAAAGTAAATGGTTTAAACCCGGGAATATCGTTACATGTTTGTAAATGTAGATCGTCCAGGTTGGTATAGTCTTGAGAAGGACTGTTTTTGTTGTTGTTGACTGACGTTTCGACAACCTTAGCGGTAGTCATCTTCAGAGTCAAATGACGTTGTAGTTTTTTGACTCTGAAGATGACTACCGCTAAGGTTGTTGAAACGTCAGTCAAAAACAACAACAACAGTCCTTCTCAAGGCTATACCAACCTGGACGATCTACATTGAAAAAGAATAACGGAATCTATAAACCAAACAAAAAATCATTTGCAAATGTCATTTGAAGGAAAAACACTCGGAAAAACAGTTTAACTATCCAATTTGACGATACAATTTGAAACGATTTCTTTTTAATGAGAAAAACTAGAAAAGTGAAAGTCAACCCGTGCAAAACAGTAACGATGAAAATAAAAGCAAGCTTCGTTTAACGTTAAATAATGCCATATAATATGCCTTTTACTAACCTCGCTTCTCAGTCTTTACTAAAAAAATCAGACATCTCGCCTTACGGGCTCGGTCTGTACAAAAAGATACCACTCCTTTAATTCTCGTAAAGACCTCGAGCTCTTTCTTCAAGGGCCTAGTATTGATATTCTGAATTTGTTTGTTGAGATTAGTTTTAAGTTTTTTGATGCACATTGCTTCTTTTTGTTTTAAATAGAAGGAATGCGCGTAGATAAATCTTAAAGAAGCCCTTTAATCGCAACAATGTAATAAATTTTTTCCCATCTATCTCTTTTGTCTATACACATGTTATGTATCATATTTCTTTATAAATGAACTCTATGTAAATCATTTACAGGTTATTCGGCATGACGATGGCATAATTTTTCCGAAACATGTGTACATTACAAAATTTAAAGAAAGTTGTCGTATATCACTTTAAATACCTCATTTCAATCGTGCTGCTGCGAAATATTCTAAATTACTGGCACTTCTCATTTTCGCAAAAAATTCTCATTTTTGAGTCAGGTTATATGAGACACTTTATCGAAAGTCTTGAGTATTTTATCTCGAGAGGTATTACTAGAGTGTTAAAATTTAATGCTTTAAGAACATTGCGAAAATGCTTTTTGTTAAAGATGGAATCGTGTCGGTGATCAGCCGATCCAAACATGGTAACTCAATAAAGTCATTAAATGCTTGTTAATTCTCAATATTTTAAGATTGTTGCTTTTTAAATACATAATGAACTCCACACAAACCCTAACCCCATGGATATCCCGTAACAGTGACGTATCTAGCTAAAAAGTTGGGCATGCTCTATAACATCGAAGAGTACAGACGATTTAGGTATTTAGCAGCCCTCAAGACAAATTTATTAAATTTTGTAACTCTAATTTTAATATATAATACATGCAAACAAACGTTTATTACTCGAAGGCATATGGGCATCGTCGTAGCTGTGTTTTAGAGCGGTTGTAAATATTCCAATTTGAATTCACATCTGAATTTGACTATAAAACAAGTTAGATCATGTTGCTTTATAATTGCGATAATTGCAAGTCTGTCGTTTGCTGCTTGACGAAAATACTACAACAACGAATCACTCATGCGTGGTATATCATACATGATGCCTTTACGATAACCGCAATTCGCACATGTATTATAATATAGATAGGTTTTTGATAAACAACAATACTACTTTGCCTAATTCATTGTTCCATATAATGTATTAATTTCTCCATAATAGTGGATAGTCTGCTATTTTAAATGCAAGAATAAAGCTTATTTGAAAATGCTAGTAATAAGCACCACTAGCATATTAACCAATAGAATTGCAGGGTTTTTGTAGTTATTATAATTTATTTACAACTGTTTTTCCTCCTCATTTCAAATGGCAGGATTATAAAGCTGAATAAAAAGGCAATAACAAGGAGACACTGGAATATTATCCAATAGAAAGGTCGAATTTTCTCTAGTGTTTATTATGGACATTCCTGCTCAAAAATGGCAGGAGTGAAGTCGAATTGCATGCGAGAAAGTGAAAAAGAAACTGCATTAAAAACAGATTTGCTGCTAAGAAACCCCTTAAAATCTTTCTAACTTGATACTAAAGAGAAAACAAATTTTTTAATATTTTGTCTTAAAATTACTTGTGTTCTTGTGTGTACCTTAAATTATTAGAATTAATTATGTTCATTTTTTGTTATATTTAGTCTTGCCGTGCTGGAAGAGCTAGACCGCTAACTACGCCACTGTCCCTTAAAAATTCAAATTATTTATTAATAAGAAAAAATCTTACTGTCACAAATTTCGTTTCGGGTGTGGTGATTAAATTAGAACACTTTAGTGCATAACCAGAGCGTAATAAGATTGGGAAATAGGCATAAGTAATGCTTTTGTCAAGTATTAGCTACTGGCTTATACATGGATATATTGTTTTCCGGTGACATCGATTGAAAGTATCCGAATATACATCAAAATTTTATATATTTTTGGTTATTTCAAAGTTTCAACATTTACCAAGTAGTAATGCATTTATATGGATTTTTTTATGCCAGAATGGCAGCTCGTTACCAAAAACACTATCAAATTATTTTTCTCTGTGTAAAAAAGCAACAGGAAACGATATAAATAATTATGCATTTGGTACAGTCATTATCCCCAATGAATTAACTAGCAATTAAAATTTTTAAAAGATCGCATTAATTCAGCTCCTTTGGGATTTACTATTGTGTTACATAATATTAATTAAAGAAAAACAATTCCAAACTTAAAAATAATGTCATATCCTCATTATTAACTTAAATTTCTTACGCAAAAGCTTTGTAAAAACAAAGCCAGACATTAAAAAACGTACTCATATTTTTCATAAATGCAACGAACATGCACAATTGTATGATTAAATCAATAGCAAGGAAGAACAAATAGCTGATCTTTACTTGCAATCATTCTCTTGAGATTTACCAAACAATGTTACTCGCCCATGCCTGCTGGTGCCAAAAATAGCACAGATAAATTATTCTTTTGTATCACAACACCAACATGGCTGAAATTCAAGTCAATAATTGCTGGCAAACATGCAAAATGATTATTAATGATTTAACACGGCCTTTCTATAATAAAGCAGTGTAGCACGGTGGCAGTGTAGCCCGGTAGCAAAATATGCAACAATAACGAAAAGAAAATGGCAAAACACTTTTCATTTCACAGTCGAAAGCGATAAGTTTTAGCATCATGCAATAAAGAAGCTGTGACAATGAAAACGCAATGCATAAAAATGACAGACAAGCCATAACAAAAGAAAATTTCGGTATTTGTCAAATACCATAAACATAAACTTGCATGCAAGTCATTTCGACAAAAACTTTCCCTAAGAATTAAGTGTTGTTGTTTATATTTTATAACAAGCCTTGTCGTTGCCATTCAATGATATTTTTGTCGTTACTCCTCTTATATGTATAAAATATGCATTTCCAAGAGAGATGTTCACGGCCACTATTATCACGATGAAAAGGAACGATTTCATTGTAGCAAATTATGATCAATAATAAAGGTTTCAACTGAACACAATTGTTTGAAAGTCATCAATAAAAGGGCTTATGAAAATCATTGTACCTGTTAAAAATTCATATGATCATCGTCACGTTTTCGTTGTAAATGTGACATGGTTGTCATGTGGGTTTAATGACATGTTTACTATTGTATTGCAGTAAGTTCTTAAAATAAGTCCAAATCCATCATATAAAATAAATGTTCAAGAAACTTACGAGCGCTGTAGTACAAGTTTACAAAACGACAAAAAATCGATGGAAAAATTTCCAATTGTGTAATATTTATTCTGTGAGTATGTTTTAAGTCTTAAATTATAAAAAAATTTCTATAAGTCAAAGTCCAAAAGTTCATAGTGCAAAATTAATAGTAATGATATTACATAGTAAAGTTAAATGACTATCAATGACTGGGTATATCATTATCACATACAGTGGCGTAGCTAGCCGTCAATAAAATTTCCCGCAAAATAACTTTAACATTATTATTGTCAAATTTGATGACAAGTAGCTTTTTAAAAGATTGATTTACTTACATATAATTATTTGGAAAGAATGTAAACAATATATTAAGCTACGTTTGTCAACTAGAACTTATTCTACGCTTATAGCTCAACCTGTTCATGCTCTCAAAAATCATCATAGCCATCTAGTATATTTCAGATTGGATGAAAGAATCTGAGCGTGCTCAAACGCGACGTTTTACACTTTATCGAAAGTCTTGAGTATTTTATCTCGAGAGGTATTACTAGAGTGTTAAAATTTAATGCTTTAAGAACATTGCGAAAATGCTTTTGTTAAAGACGGAATCGTGTCGGTGATCAGCCGATCCAAACATGGTAACTCAATAAAGTCATTAAATGCTTGTTAATTCTCAATATTTTTAAGATTGTTGCTTTTTAAATACATAATGAACTCCACACAAACCCTAACCCCATGGATATCCCGTAACAGTGACGTATCTAGCTAAAAAAGTTGGGCATGCTCTATAACATCGAAGAGTACAGACGATTTACGTATTTAGCAGCCCTCAAGACAAATTTATTTAATTTTGTAACTCTAATTTTTAATATATAATACATGCAAACAAACGTTTATTACTGGAAGGCATATGGGCATCGTCGTAGCTGTGTTTTAGAGCGGTTGTAAATATTCCAATTTGAATTCACATTTGAATTTGACTATAAAACAAGTTAGATCATGTTGCTTTATAATTGCGATAATTGCAAGTCTGTCGTTTGCTGCTTGACGAAAATACTACAACAACGAATCACTCATGCGTGGTATATCATACATGATGCCTTTACGATAACCGCAATACGCACATGTATTATAGTATAGATAGTTTTTTGATAAACAACAATACTACTTTGCCTAATTCATTGTTCCATATAATGTATTAATTTCTCCATAATAGTGGATAGTCTGCTATTTTAAATGCAAGAATAAAGCTTATTTAAAAATGCTAGTAATAAGCACCTCTAGCATATTAACCAATAGAATTGCAGGTTTTTTGTAGTTATTATAATTTATTTACAACTGTTTTTCCTCCTCATTTCAAATGGCAGGATTATAAAGCTGAATAAAAAGGCAATAACAAGGAGACACTGGAATATTATCCAATATAAAGGTCGTATTTTCTCTAGTGTTTATTATGGACATTCCTGCTCATTAATGGCAGGAATGAAGTCGAATTGCATGCGAGAAAGTGAAAAAGAAACTGCATTAAAAACAGATTTGCTGCTAAGAAACTCCTTAAAATCTTTGTAACTTGATACTGAAGAGAAAACAAATTTTTTATAATTTTGTCTTAAAATTACTTGTGTTCTTGTGTGTACCTTAAATTATTAGAATTGATTATGTTCATTTTTTTGTTATATTTAGTCTTGCCGTGCTGGAAGAGCTAGACCGCTAACTACGCCACTCTCCCTTAAAAATTCAAAATAATTATTAGTAAGAAAAAATCTTACTGTCACAAATTTCGTTTCTGGTGTGGTGATTAAATTAGAAGACTTTAGTGCATAACCAGAGCGTAATAAGATTGGGAAATAGGCATAATTAATGCTTTTGTCAAGTATTAGCTACTGGCTTATACATGGATATATTGTTTTCCGGTGACAAGGATTGAAAGTATCCGAATATACATCAAAATTTTATATATTTTTGGTAATATCAAAGTTTCAACATTTACCAAGTAGTAATGCATTTATATGGATTTTTTTATGCCAGAATGGCAGCTCGTTACCAAAAACACTCTATCAAATTATTTTTCTCTGTGTAAAAAAGCAACAGGAAACGATATAAATAATTATGCATTTGGTACAGTCATTATCCCCAATGAATTAACTAGCAATTAAAATTTTTAAAAGATCTCATTAATTCAGCTCCTTTGGGATTTACTATTGTGCTACACAACATTAATTAAAGAAAAAACAATTCCAAACTTAAAAATAATGTCATATCCTCATTTTTAACTTAAATTTCTTACGCAAAAGCTTTGTAAAAGCAAAGCCAGACATTAAAAAACGTACTTATATTTTTCATAAATGCAACGAACTTGCACAATTGTATGATTAAATCTATAGCAAGGAAGAACAAATAGCTGATCTTTACTTGCAATCATTCTCTTGAGATTTACCAAACAATGTTACTCGCCCATGCCTGCTGGTGCCAAAAATAGCACAGATAAATTATTCTTTTGTAGCACAACACCAACATGGCTGAAATTCAAGTCAATAATTGCTGGCAAACATGCAAAATGATTATTAATGATTTAACACGGCCTTTCTATAATAAAGCAGTGTAGCACGGTGGCAGTGTAGCACGGTAGCAAAATATGCAACAATAACTAAAAGAAAATGGCAAAACACTTTTCATTTCACAGTCGAAAACGATAAGTTTTAGCATCATGCAATAAAGAAGCTTTGACAATGAAAACGCAATGCATAAAAATGACAGACAAGCGATAACAAAAGAAAATTTCGGTATTTGTCATATACCATAAACATAAACTTGCATGCAAGTCATTTCGACAAAAACTTTCCCTAAGAATTAAGTGTTGTTGTTTATATTTTATAACAAGCCTTGTCGTTGCCATTCAATGATATTTTTGTCGTTACTCCTCTTATATGTATAAAATATGCATTTCCAAGAGCTTTACTAAAGAGAAAACAAATTTTTTAAAATTTTGTCTTAAAATTACTTGTGTTCTTGTGTGTACCTTATTTATTAATAAAAAAAAATCTTACTGTAACAAATTTCGTTTCGGGTGTGGTGATTAAATTAGAAGACTTTAGTGCATGACCAGAGCGTAATGAGATTGGGAAATAGGCATAAGTAATGCTTTTGTCAAATATTAGCTACTGGCTTATACATGGATATATTGTTTTCCGGTGACATCGATTGAAAGTATCCGAATATACATCAAAATTTTATACATTTTTGGTTATTTCAAAGTTTCAACATTTACCAAGTAGTAATGCATTTATATGGATTTTTTTATGCCAGAATGGCAGCTCGTTACCAAAAACACTCTATCAAATTATTTTTCTCTGTGTAAAAAAGCAACAGGAAACGATATAAATAATTATGCATTTGGTACAGTCATTATCCCCAATGAATTAGCAATTAAAATTAAACTAGCAATTAAAATTTTTAAAAGATCGCATTAATTCAGCTCCTTTGGGATTTACTATTGTGTTACATAATATTAATTAAAGAAAAACAATTCCAAACTTAAAAATAATGTCATATCCTCATTATTAACTTAAATTTCTTACGCAAAAGCTTTGTAAAAGCAAAGCCAGACATTAAAAAACGTACTCATATTTTTCATAAATGCAACGAACATGCACAATTGTATGATTAAATCTATAGCAAGGAAGAACAAATAGCTGATCTTTATTTGCAATCATTCTCTTGAGATTTACCAAACAATGTTACTCGCCCATGCCTGCTGGTGCCAAAAATAGCACAGATAAATTATTCTTTTGTATCACACCACCAACATGGCTGAAATTCAAGTCAATAATTGCTGGCAAACATGCAAAATGAATATTAATGATTTAACACGGCCTTTCTATAATAAAGCAGTGTAGCACTGTGGCAGTGTAGCACGGTAGCAAAATATGCAACAATAACTAAAAAAAAATGGCAAAACACTTTTCATTTCACAGTCCAAAGCGATAAGTTTTAGCATCATGCAATAAAGAAGCTTTGACAATGAAAACGCAATGCATAAAAATGACAGACAAGCCATAACAAAGAAAATTTCGGTATTTGTCAAATACCATAAACATAAACTTGCATGGAAATCATTTCGACAAAACTTTCCTAAGAATTAAGTGTTGTTGTTTATAATTTATAACAAACCTTGTCGTTGCCATTCAATGATATTTTGTCGTTACTCCTTTATATGTTAAAATATGCATTTCCAAGAGAGATGTTCACGGCCACTATTATCACGATGAAAAGGAACGATTTCATTGTAGCAAATTATGATCAATAATAAAGGTTTCAACTGAACACAATTGTTTGAAAGTCATCAATAAAAGGTCCTATGAAAATCATTGTACCTGTTAAAATTCATATGATCATCGTCACGTTTTGTTGTAAATGTGACATGGTTGTCATGTGGGTTTAATGACATGTTTACTATTGTATTGCAGTAAGTTCTTAAAATAAGTCCAAATCCATCATATAAAATAAATGTTCAAGAAACTTACGAGCGCTGTAGTACAAGTTTACAAAACGACAAAAAATCGATGGAAAAATTTCCAATTGTGTAATATTTACTCTGTGAGTATGTTTTAAGTCTTAAATTATAAAAAAAATTCTATAAGTCAAAGTCCAAAAGTTCATAGTGCGAAATTAATAGTAATGATATTACATAGTAAAGTTAAATGACTATCAATGACATATATTTGGAAAGAATGTAAACAGTATATTAAGCTACGTTTGTCAACTAGAACTTATTCTACGCTTATAGCTCGACATGTTCATGCTCTCAAAAATCATCATAGCCATCTAGTATATTTTAGATTGGATGAAAGAATCTGAGCGTGCTCAAACGCGACGTTTTACGTCGTTGTGCTGATTTGGCAAAGCAAGACCTATACTTAATCCCGCGTGTAATTTTTTGTGTGCTACATTCGCTGTTGTAGTTCGTGTACGTTGTAAACATTTCAAAACATTTCCTATATAATTCCATTGCTTATTTTTATTTATATGCTGCTAAAGAAAATATTAAATGAATTTAAATGAAGATATGATCTTTAAATATCATGGATTCGCACCACAGAAATCATGGGTTCGATTCCTGTTGAGTCACCTGAATTTTTCAGGTTCATGATACAATTGCTTAAATTGTCCAGCAAATTGCGAAGATCATATCTTCATTTAATTTTAAACACCGCACTGCATAAAACATTCTTTCATAAAGTGAATATTA